TGTCTCCGTGTTGTCCAGTGCTGATTCCATGGCTGCAGTGTCGCCAGCAAGAAACAATGCTTTTGAAAGCCAGGCTTGTCGCTTGGCAGCGTGCTGAAAAAACAGTGTTTCTAAGAAAAAAACCATTGTTCCTATGAAACATGTTCTTGCATGGCGCCCCCTTTATTCTGCGAGCACCCTTGGTGCCTGAAAGCGGCGACAATCCCCAAGCAGGCCTCACGCTGAAAAGCCCATGTTGGGCCCCAAGTGGGCTGGATGTAAACTTGCAAATGGGGGGGGGGGGAACTCCTGAGCAAAGAAATAGCACCCAAACAAAAACAAGGACAAGACCAACCATCCCCTTAAGCGTCTGATGTAAAGGCGCAAGGCTGTGTCATCACACAGGAGCGGCGGGCAATAGCAATGCACAAACGCATGCACGTGGGTTCCTGCAGTGGCCCGAACTGTGGCCCGATTTTTCTTTTCTGCGCTTGTCTGACTATCAAAGAAGGGAAAACAAATGAGCACAGGCTCGTCTGCGGCAAAAGACTGCGTTGTCTGGGACTTCTTGAGTTGCGACGCATGCGTCGTGAAAATATGCGACTCGGGTGCCGCACAGCGATCTCAAAAAGCCATGTTCTGTATAAGCTGTGGACCAATCAGGAGTTGATGCGCAATCCACAACCTTTGCGGCATGCAGGACATGCGAGGCTTTACTGTACAAAAAAATCGCTGTTTCCGGTCTACTCTGGGACTGCACACCTTGGCATGGCTCTACCTCCACATCGCTGGAAGTGTCAGATGATGAGCTGAAAACTTCGGATGCATCACTATCTTCTTGCGCTAGTGATCTGCAGGCCTTGGGCCCAGCTTGGTCTGGAGGCGGCAACCCTGTTGACTGCAAAGCAGCCTGCGGGGAGGGAACTGTGTCCTCCTCATGCGAGGGGGCATGCGAAGTGGCCCCAAGTGGAGACCCTGCGAGGAGATCTTGCCCCCAGCGCAAGCCCGTATCTGCACGGTCAAGCTCCCAATCGGGAGAGCGATCCTCACCAAAAGGTCCAACCTTTGAGGCTGGCTGCGTCGGTAAGTCGGGCGGAAGAAACCAGCTGATGCTGGCGATGCGTCCGAGCTCTTCCTGAAACACATTGGCAGGAAGCGCCGCTGTGCGGAAAGGCAGATCTGGCACAGGTACTTGGCCACCACGACTTTGCGGGCGGAGTGGCCGCCAACCCGAAGCCAATTTGCTTAGGACCGTCTGCTGTACATGTATAGCAGCAAAGACATCGTCGCGGCTATACAATCGAACTGAGGGATTGGAAAACCCAACAGACGGCCGGTGGTGGCCTTGGGCTGCTCTGGCATTTTCTGTAATTTCAATGATTTGCGATGCAGTCGACAGGACACATACTTTCAACGAATGCAAGGTGAAACTTTTGCTGACACTGCTCGGGAATAAATCCGCAAAGCTGCTGTCACATTGACAGGTTGTCAGCGCTTGCCGCAGGTGCTGCAACCCTTCTGCGTATGACATTGGGCGAGACCAAGCATGGTCCGCGGGTACCAGGAAGTCGGGGTCAAAGGATACCCCGAAGCGACTTCTGGCTTGCTGCACTGTGCTTTGCACGGCTGTCAAATAGGACACCAGCCATCCATGCACACTTGCTGGCTTCACAAGTCCGACTCCAACAGCAGCAAAAGGCTGCCCTGTGCGTGTTGTTTTTGTCTTGTAACAAAGCCCACGCAGAATGAAGCCAGTGTCTACCACTAGGGATGAAACATGAATTCTTTGAACATCTCCCCACCGCAAACTTGCAAGGGTTGCGATCAGGAAGCCTCCCAGAACAAGCTTGTTAAACACCGGGGTATTGTCTTGCATGATGCACTTTTCCCAAAGCACAATAGCTGACCAAGGCAACGGTAATGCTTCGCGGCGTTCATATTGACCCCGTTGCGCCACACTTCGCACAGAAGCATGGCTGAGGTGCTGCAAAAGAATCTCGAAGCCATGTGTCTGACTCATCCACCTCATTGCTTTTAGAAAGGACTGCAGGCTGCTACGGATCTCCCTGCGGTCTTCTCGTGCTGCAAGCAAGGACTCAACCAGGAAATCTAGGACCTGCACAAGCGCTGGCGACGCTGCACTGACCTGACGCAGCGCGCACCAAGATTCCCACTTTTGCCAAGCGTCAAAGTATCTCTCTAGCGTTGAAGCAGCAAAGTTTCGAAGCGGCTCCATCATGAGCAAGCCTTTGAAAGCTGAGCTGGCAATGGACTGTAGCCAAGCTGAGTGTGGCAGCAAACGGGTGCTGGTGGCAGCCCACCGTGCCTCCAACTTACTCCGGCGCCGTTCTTCAAGAGCCCGCTGTGTAACCCAGTCTTTGTCGCGCGCCAGGCTTGCTCTGCTGTTGGAGGAGCCTTGGGCGACTGCTGCGAAACTTCTCGCACCTTCCAAGATTGGTGATGCTGTAGGCCCCAAAAGCACGGGGTCAGATCCCCGACGAAGCTTCGCAGGGGGCAAAGTGGAAGGGGTTCTCAATGGGAACGCTGGCCTGGGTAACGCAGAAAAAGGTCTTGTAGAGAGTTGTTGCTTTGGCAACCACGTTGGAGCTCGGTGCGGTTCGGAACTTGTAGGCGTAACATGAGGTGGGCTGGCTCTGCGTCCCGCATCTAAGAATGTCGTTCGTTCTGGCCAGAAGGCGCAGCGGCACGTCAAGTCGTTAACTGTCAAAACCGATGTGGCTGGTCTAGGTCTGATGCCAGAGGTGGCCTTTGCTGTTGGAATTGAAGCGTGGGATGGCTGCTTCACACCGCCAACATCAGAGCGATCCATGGCAGCAAAAAATAGAAGAAGAAGAAGAATGAAACGAAGTCAATGTTGACTGCGACAACTGCTGGAACCCGAGCTGCACGGACACAAGTTGATCAACCTCCTGCAACCCCAACTCAAAACACAGGGGAACCCTGGCACCCCTAGATGCAATCTGCAGCGATGTGTTGAGCGAAATCCCGGACAGACCAAAGTAAGCGGCACACAAGCCAAACCCGGTTTTGGACTACCACACGCAAACCGGACTGCAACAGCCCCTCAAAGACCCAAACAATCGAATTTGGGCGCTGGCAAATGGGGCGGAGGGGGGCTTTGCCCCTCGCTGCGTCCTTGCTCTTCTCGCTGCGCACGAGGGCTTTGACATTGTATCTGCCGCACCGCACCAGCTTTTCGACCTGGGCTGCTTGAACTCTAGGCAGCCTCCTGCTGGCTGGGGCTAGAATGAGCGTCATGTAAAACAAAGCACTCAAACCGTGCACGAGCCAGATCCCCAAATTGTCCCAGTCTCCTGTTCTATCCTGCCAGATCAACTCTCGTTCCCGCGGTCAACATTTCACCTGCTTCCTCCGCTAATTTCTCGCCCAACCTCCTCAATATCCCTCCCTCACCTTGCTCTGACTCGCGGTTTCGCTCCGGCCTAGATCCGTTTGGCTTGTCTTCAAACCCCCAACTGCATTTATAGATGGTGACACGCAACCTCGGCCCAAAACACCTCAAGAAACCCTCAGGTCACCCTTCCCCCACCCCAACCCCCAAGAGAACCTCTTCCCCCCCACTCCCCCCCCCCCCAAAAAAAAAAAAAAAACGCTGGCTGGGACCCCACACGACCACGCTGCCAGTGCGCCCGCCCGCGCCGGTCACCAACACGGTGCGGCCCTTGGCAAACGCCGCGCCCAGCTCTGCGAGCTGCAGGCCTACGGCGAACCAAGGGGGAGCTCAGATGCCCAGTGGCAACAGGACAAGAAGGGCTTCCAATTCTTTGGTTAGCCTTGGTCGCGATTTTCCTTTGGCCATTTGAGCAGAGCTTTTTTGGGGTACATGAAAAGGGGAACTCCGCGGAAGCCTACGCGAGCCTACGCGAGCTGCATGTTTACAGGTTTCAGCCTACGCGGAGGCAGTTCCTCCGCAAAAAAGCCTACGCGGCCTACGCGGACTGCGCAGGCACACTATTCCAGCCTTCGCGGCTCCGGGGCGCTGCAAAAAAGACTCTGCTCATCGGTGTGGGCTCTATCCGGAAGATTATGGGTCGTGAACTCTTCTGAGGTTTGGGTCAGATGACTTTCAAGGGAAGCCCTTCCCAAACAAAGGAAAAAGGGCACTGGGTAACTGGGAATAATCAACAAAGCACACCAGCATGGACCCCAGATAGCACCCCCAAGCACCCAGCCGTCGACCTCGCAAAGATTCGCGCTCGCACAGTCACCACCCCAAATTGCACGCCCTCTGGCACCCAGCCGTTGATCTCGCAAATCACTTTCCCCTCTTTAATAGAAGGTAACCAAAAATCAATAAATGAGTAAATAGATAAATGATGAGTATATATATATATATACATATAGTTGTATGTGTATCATATATATATATAGAGAGAACTGTATTCGTATATTCATACATATATGTGCATATATATATATATTTTATATATATATATATATATATGTTGGTGTTTATATTACTGGGTACAGACCCGAAGGGCTTCAACCAAAACTGGTGCTTGTGCACAGAGTGCCACCCCAACAAGGGTCGGTCGTTCAGGCATCGTAGCAAAAGCAAACCGGCGCCAAACGGCGGCGCCAAACGGCACGTTGCCAGTTTCGTAGACTGAAGGATCACTGCAGCAACTTCTGGTTTTCCGTGTGGGCGCCCTTCCAACAAAAGCCGCCCGCCCTGAGTTTTTTCGAAACAAAATCTACAGGGAGTCAGACAGTTTCAAGCAGTCTCCTGTTGCCGAATAGGTGAAATTGAGAGAGACCCCTGAGGCAAACAGTTTCCCTGGCTTCCCCCCCCCCACGTACAAAGGCTCCAGTTCCGATCTGGAGGAGTGTCAATGGCCAGAACCCCATTCCGCACCAAGACCACTGGAAATTTATCGACCATCCAGACCCAGGATGGTTTGCACAGCAAGTTAGAACTCTGAACCCCGGAGCCCCGCGCTCTTTCCAGCCGCTTTTTTCCACGGGTCGCTCGCTTCTCCTCAGCCTGCCACCGCCATAGCGAATGGCAGCACCTGGGCCCAGCCCCACTTGGAAGACAGGCATGGATGATTCACCCGGAAGCCAGGCATCCCGTAAAACATCGCAACGGCTCCTCATTTGGGCAAAGAAAAAATCGCAGTCCCATTCTTGAACAAAGCCTAAATGGGTGGATGACCCGACCCCTTCAGCACCCATGAAAACCTAAGAATTGTTCCAGGCCACCGTCTTCCTGGAAGTCTCGCCTCTGATGCTGTAGACATCAAGCGGCTGGAACTCCTGCGCATGGGGCATCTGGGCTGGCGCCCTTGGAAGCTCCACTCAAACATTGCGATCCCCGCATCCCCACACGGGGCGGGGTCTTTGTTGAGGCTACCCTTTTGGGGCTGGTTTAGAGGGAAACCAACAAAAAACCCGTGCCATTTTCGATGATCCCTGAAAAAAGGAGGCCACGCCCAGCGCGAGCCAGGCCTTGAGCGGTTCAAGCTCAAAGCCAACCTCTACCAGGCCCTGGGTCTGGTACAGAGGGTTCTCCTTCAGGTCGTCTGGCAGGTTGCCTGCCGTTGCGCTCGCGCAAGACGGCCGGCGCCATCAGCCCTCCCCACCCATATCCCCCAAAAAACATCCCAGACAAGTCCACACCCAGCCTGGAGTTTCGCGCATCTGACTCACCTCAAGTCGACTCGGACATGGGAGTTTGCTGCTGGTCGGCGCCACTTCAATCAATCGGTGGCTAGTTATGCATCCTGATCAAATGTACATGGAGAAGCCAACCAAAAAACCTCGGCACTGCCGGATGTCAACTTGCGGTCGGCTGGCAATCGTTGCACACAAGTCGGCCGCCGCATCGCTGGACGGCACAAATGCCAGGGCTCTTTTCTGAGCCAAGGCTTTGTCCTGCGCCCACCGCGGAAACGAAACGCAATGCGCTTCCAGAAGAAGGGTATGCGCTATGCGCCCGGCCTTGCTGAAGAGCAAAATGACTGCCTAGTGCAGAGTGAACCCATTCCTATGAGTATGTCTTTAGAGGAACCTCCAGCAGAATGGAGTTTCTTTGGGTTCCCTGTAAACCAACCCAAAAAAGGGTTCCTCAAAAAAAGACACCCCCATATTGTTCGGTCGGTGCTACAGTCTCAACAGCAAGGAATGCGTCAGTCGATGTGACGAAATCTCTGTGCTGGTCCCACCTCGTAGCCACGGTTCCGAGCAAGAGCTTGAGCGATCGCGACGATCTCGTCACTCTTGCCAGCTTTGGAGCAAACATCTGTGAGCGTGCCAAAGAAGCTTGCAACCGCTACCTCAGAACCCGCACAAGGGTGTGCTCAAAATTAAACAGGAGGGGTTACGCTGGTTTTGGTTCATGTTTCCACTTACCAGGGTTCCATTTTGGAACCGGCTTTTTGAGCCACAGCCACAAAATCGCAGACTCGCAGACCATGGGAAGCCAGCCTTGAGGCACATCCTGCTTGCGTCCCAGCGACTTTCATGCCCCGGAGAGTCACCACCTTCGTATCGAGAAGCATCAGCTCTCGCACCGACAGGTGCGACACGTCCTTGCGAGCTTCCATAAGGCTCCTGTACCTTGCAGCGCTCTATCCGCACCAAAACATCTCAGGGGGCAAGGGAATCCCCTATCTGCCAGACCGTTTTTGTTGCCACCACAGAAACATGTGGTGGGTTTCCAAAAGAATTTGTCACCATTTGCAAAACACCAGACGCTGATCCCTGTCTCTCCAGGGCTTACACTAGTTGTAGTAGAATCGAAACTATGTGTCCTCTCAAGGCACTTCATTGGAGTAGAGAAGGTGCATCTGCTGAGTGCAATCGCTTTGCAAACCGGTGCTGTCATTCGGAACTGCGCTTGACGAACACGGAACAGCAATCTGCAAAAGGCCACAGCCGTGCTTCGGCAGAGAAATTGCGGGCTTTTGTATTGATTGGGACCCCACTCTCTCTGATTTCCTGGCTTTGGATTGTGGCGGAGCAAAATGTGCGAGTCGCCGGCTGCCGTGAAGTGGGAAAAGCGTGTGTGGCATCTGCGAGAGGAAGGAGCATCAATTTTGAGCACCAAACCGAACCGAGGCGATTCCAGGCAGTGCTGAACGCCTGCGCGCGTGACGCATGCAAGGCGGCGGCCGAGGTGCCAGGCGTTTGGCTCCACAGACGGCACCAGGTCTAGCCTCGCGAGCTCTTCTAGTGCAGCCGAATCTCTGCTCGTACCTCGCAACTACAAAACGGGCAACTAGGCACGCCGTGTCGGAGAATGCAAAAAACACTTTTTTGGATGGCAACGGCAAACCCAAAGGAAACCACATGCGCATTTTGCAAATTCGCCTTTGAGGCAAATTAACCTGTCAGGTTGGTTTGCTTCTCACACAACCGAAGCCACCGAGCTGCCTTTCTTCTCCTTGGGGTCAAAGTTTCTGCAGTCCAACCGAATCACGCCCGCGAGCAGAGTACCGATCTCCAGAGACAGCTTCTCGGGCCTGAGCGATCGCCAAGCGATGGCCGCCCTTAGGAACTATTATGGAAGAAAAAAAAAGAAATCGCGCCTGCGCAAATACTCCTCCACCACCTCAGGATGCGCCAAGATATGAGTTGGCGGAACTTCTATTTCCTCCATATCCTTCCCACATGGACTGTAGACCCCTGCCATTTTTCAGCGAATGGGTTCTAGGATGCTACAGGCATCGCTCCTTCGCAAGCTAGAACAAATTTAAGCTCCGCGCCAGGGTACAGGCGGACCCCAGGCTCTCGTCCACAACAGTCACGGCTTCGGGATACGAACTGACGCCCGCATGATGGTCCAGCACCTGAGGTTGACCCCGTGAAACCGAACTCCGGAGCAAGAGTTGAGTCATACTCAAAACCCGGTATTAAAATGGTCTGCCCAGAAGCATGTAGAGAATTACGAAGGCGGCCGCAGCTATTTATGGTTGGGATTGTCCCTTACCAACCTTCATCTACCCGAGTTTTTATTGTTTGATTGTGGCTCAGTTACCGTCAAAGCTCTTGGTCCTGGTAGTTGCCTCTCCAAACTCTTTCAAATGGTTGCGGCTTGATGACTGGACTCGCCTGCAAACAACCTCCGACCATGGCACGTGTCTGAGCGCTGAGTCCTAGGCCATCTTGACACGGTCAGCAAAGTGAGCAGCAACCTGATCCGTCATCTTGTTGTGATCCGTAAGGACCAGCGATCGGCTCTCCGATTTGTCCACCGCATCCCAGTCAACTTCATCCCAGAAATACAAAGCGGCCGGGCTGCCATCCTTGCGAATCGCGAAAACCGCTTGGCAGGCACGTGCGGAATTCCGATCACACGTCCGAGGTTTTTCCAAGGTTCTTCCAAGACTCTGCTACCGGCTTTTCGAAAAAGTGCAAGCACATCACCTCAGGGTGTCGTCAAGTAGAACGCTCAGTTTACCTTCGCGTTAAACCCGTCGTGGGGGCACCATTAGACGGGTGCTCACGAGATCATCTCACACCTGCCACTTCTGTGCCGAATTGCCCCGAAAACCCGGCGGCACCTCGCAGGCGAAACTCCTCCCGCGGGATCTGGGCCAAGGCTATCGCCTGCACGTCTGGGCCATCCAGCAACTGTGCCATGGCAAACCTCGGCTCTAACCCTCGCAAGTGCTCAGACCTCCTCAAAAAAAAGCATGCCCCTCCCACCAACCATAGTAAGGGCCAAAAAAGGGCCGCCTTTTCAAGAACCTTCCGCCAGCCCATCAGAAAAAGGCCAAAAAAACTGGCTTTTGGGTCCCCCCCCAACAAAAAAAAGACGTGCCAGCAAATTTGGCGGCCAAAAAAACTGCCTTTTGGGTCCCCCCCCCCCGAAAAAACATCGCGAGCCCCTCCCACCCAACAGTCTCCGCCTCAGCCAAGCCTCGCCGACACCAGGGAGTCGGCGTCGGCCGCGTCGTTGCCCACGACGAAGAGCTGCTGCCGCTTGGGGTCCAGCTGCGGAAAACTCGCCGCCATCCTTGGCACCCCGGCTGGGTGCAGTTGCCCCAACAGGCTGGATGTGGATATCACGTGCCAGTATGTAATATAGAATATGATATAGAACAATATAATATAATATCATATAATATAGCATAGTGGAATATCGTATAACATAGTATCATGTAATAGCATATGATATAATATAGCATAGGAAAACATACTATAACAGAAAGCAAATGTGATATATCTTATCATCTAAAAATATACCAGGTTTATTGCATCTACCACCGTCAAAAGCGCCGGGGTCAAAGAGCAAACCAAATTTGGACGTGCTCATCAAGTCCGGGCATTCTCAAATATGGGTATAGATATATGTGGATGAGCAAGCAACTCAAATCAATCGGAGAGGCTCAAATGCAGTCGAGCAAAACTTCTACTCCGTCCTCCACACCCTACAAGCCAAACACCAGACAACACCATGCACACACAACATGCACCACTAACCCACGTTCACTCAAGCTGAAACCAAGCACAAAAGGTTGACAAGGGCAAGTGATGCTGTTGATGTGGCAAGTGATGCTGTTGATGTGCGGTGCAGTGTACCAAATTGTGGATCCATCGCGCGCATGTGTAAAACCCCAAACAGGTTTTTACTGCAGAGACGCTGCCCATGCAATAAGGCTACGTCTGGTTCCCAGAGTTTCGCCATCATTATAACATAAAAAAGAGAAAACACTATATAATACAACCTAATATACTATCATATGTCACAATATAATATAATATGTTACAATATCACACAATATAACATGTGATACAATTTAATATAGAATAGCATACCATGAATGAGAATATAGAATAGTATAACCTATACAATAATACAATATGACATAATATAATATAATATAATATAATGTGCTCATGGTATGCTGCAATATGGTATGTTATGGTGTGGTATAGTGAGTTTATGATATGTTATGCTACAGTGTCTTGTGTTGTCTTGTGTTCTCTTGTGTTCTCTTGTGTTCTCTTGAGTTCTCTTGTGTTGTCATGTCACGTTATTCTGTTGGATCGCCTGCAAAACTCAAAGATCTGCAAAAAGAAGCGCAAGGATGGCTTGCTATGGCACGTCGAGTTCTGGCACAGCATGCTATGGCAATAGTGCTGACAATCGCCCTCATCTGCTCTTCTCCCTGCCCATCAGGCCATTTGGGGTGACGAATCAGGCCATTTCTCGCTCCATCCGCTCAGCGCGCTCCGCTGAAGCCGAGTCTCACGGTGCACTGGTTAAAGGGAGCTGCGCCCCACGCGAGCAGCGCCAAAGCCACGGGAGAGAATCCGATGCACCGGAGGCCCAGCTTGCCTCAGGTTTGCAACCGTGACAAGATGAAAATTTGGCTCCCCGCACCCCGAAGCGGGAAGGGAAAGTCCCAAAAGTGGCTGGAAGTAAACTTCGGACCATGGATTGCTTTTGTGCAGATTCGCTTGGACTTCGTGCTGATGGATTCGCTCAGTTTGTTCAAGCTGTTCCGTGAAGGGCCAAGGCTTTGCTGTGCGTGATAGCTTCGTGAGGTCGGCCAAGATGCTAGACACGAGTCTCACGAGGGCCGGGCAGCGTGCAGACTGAAAACTAGACAGTTCGTCACACAGGAGACGACCCGGAATCATTTGCAACGAACATCAAAGGCCGCAGCCATGTCCGGCTATGAATGCTCCCTTCGCATCTTTATCTGTCCCCGAATTAGATTCGTCGTCCCAGGTGTCACTTGCCAATCTGAAGTCAGGGGCCCAAGTGCCATCCGAGACACCTGAAAGGCTTCTTTGGCCGAAGCGATATCGCAGGCCGAGTCGGCAGCCCTGCATGCCCCTTCGCATGCTTGTGCCAAAAAGTCCCCGAAAGCTGAGCGATGGCCTTCCGACGTGGGCAAACTGCCAGGTTGGCGATGTCACAACTTCAGGTTCTACTTGTACAGGTTGCACATGCACAGTGTGTCGCCAAGTTCAAGGCTCCTCCACACGACAGCCCTGGCCAAACGGGACCATAACGTCGATCGAATCTCGAATCAATCCTGCCTGCCACAAGCCCGAGCAGCAGGAGCGGAAGCCGGCGCTTCGGCTCCATACCAAAACCACCGCCGCGCCGGCGCCGGCAAGGCTGCGCTGCGCTTTGACTCGAAGCTTTCCCAGGGCCCAAGCTCCGTATGGCATCTAACAACAGCTTCTGCAGCTTTACAAATGGAACTGTCTGCCAAAACCAACTGAAGCCTGCAGAGCTAACAGCTGACGAGGCCAAGGGCGACAATCCACATGACGGAGGCGAAGTTGAAGCTTGCTTTGTTGCAAACTCGAGTTGTTTCGGTGTTCAGCGCCATGCTGATCAAAGGACAATAATCTCCCAACTTGCTGGGAGCTTGCTGAGTTTGTAGTGCACACATACTCATTCTGCGCGCACAGGTTTGCTTACTTGAGTGCCAGCATGTCTTTAACCCTTAAGTAATTGTCCGATGTCATGGTGCTCGGACTCTAGGCCTTGGATTCCCTCTTGTGCCACTCGGGCTGCGCTTGGCCACAACTTCGGAATTCCTCCGGTCTGACGAGGAAGAAGAGGAAGGCGGCAGCCACCGCGCCTCCAGCCTCGGTGCTCGTGAGACTTTCCGGTTGGCTTCTGCTTGCTTGGCAAAAAACGATTGACGCAGCGCGCCGCGCCAACCTCAAAAAACCCGGGATGGCTCACTCCGAGGGGACTCTGGGAAGTCAGGGGCGCGTGGAAATGCCCTTTTTAAGCAGTCGTAGCAGTCCTTCAAATCATTGGATGCGGCAAGCAACGGTTCCTTTGTGCATACCGGGGAGGTGAGGGCGGGGGGGGGGGAAACGGGTCAGAATCGCGACGAGCTGTCCCTCTTTCCGGGCGCTCCCAACTTCCCCCCCGCGCCTGTGCCGCTGCAAGCAGCAGCGAATGGCTGAGGTGTTGGCCTCCCGGAACCGCGAGCGAGGCTGAAAGGTGGGGTCCAGGGGTCAAGGGGCACCAAGAGCGCCTTGATTTCCAACGACGCAAAAGCCCAGCGTGAGGGCCGGGTTCAAGAACCTGGCGCGGCCCCAACTTTCCACTCCAACGCGCGGCAAAAGAATAAGCTGGCAGGGATGCCCGCCCGAAACCTCACTGCAAGGCGGTCCGCCTCAAACGACACGGCGCCGGAAACTTGAGCAGTGCTAGCAGGGCCAGCAGTGTCGGCTAGCTTCCACTCATCAATCCATAATTGGACGCCTATCTGACTCGCCCGTCACAACCTTTCAAACCTCGAGATGGCCGTAGTAGCTGTAGTACCCTGGCTGGGGATGGATTCCCATCAAACTCAGCCCGGTTTTTGCCCACTTTGAGCCTCTCCTGCGGCTCCAAGGATCCGGCCGGCGATCATGACGAAGCCGATGGCCACGGGGAAGAACTGATTCCTCGCTGGGACCGGAAAAAAGATCGCGCCGGACTTGGCAAACTGCGAAACTCGCCAATTGGAATCCATCTGTTCAACTGTCCAATGAGTCAGAATCTTCCGCGATGCAAAGAAAATGTGGCTCGCCCCCGACAAAGCAAGAGCAAAGGCAAGGCACAAGCGCAAGGAAGAGAGCTCAGCGTCCTAAACCCTCTGGGGTTGTTTTCGATGGAGCCCATGCAGTTGAGAGCGACGAAGCAGTAGACGGCGCTGTAGATGCCCTACCGTGCATAAAGCTGCTCTCCGAAGCAAGGTCAAAGAATGGCCTCGACCAGGCTCGCATCGATGAAGTTGTAGAAGGACTGGCGCAAACTGTTTTGTGCAAAGCGGGGCTTTTAAAGAAGCACTAGGGCGCAGGCGTCCTAAACAAAACATCAACGACACTGATCAGAAATTAGAACCAGACTCAAACCAGCCAAACTGACCAAAACAGGACAACTTCTCGACTGAATGCGTCAAGCTATCAAATGAATGGCCCCCTTGTGGAACCCGTGCAACTGCAGCGCTAAATGTCTCCACTTCATTTGCCGTACGCATCCCCATGCCGCCTTCGGCTCAACAGCCGGGAGCTGCTTTTGGAGCAAGAGCTGAGCACTCGCACAGCCTGCAATACCAGCGGCAGCCTGGCAGCGATGCCCCGAAAATGAGTTGCCCTCCTGGTTCGTGTTCTTTTTACTCTCCCTCTGATCCATTCACAACGTGTTTTGTGTCGGTTTTCCCTCTTCCGCTCAGCTGTCCGTTGAGGTGTTCCTCGTCCCGTTTTGAGACATAGGCCACGATCCCGGGCCCAGGGGCCGTTTGCTGAACCTGCCCTGCTTGCCGCTTGCTGTTCCCTTCGCCTGCAGCAGGATGTAGGTCCAAACTCGGCCCCAGTACATCTTCCTGGACCTCACAAGAAAGCCTTGAGAGCCGTTTTGTGGGCACTTCTGATATGGAAACTAGAAGATAGTTCGCCCCAAAGCAACATTGACCGAGTGGCGAATTCTTTGAGCAAGCCTCTGCGCGAGTTCTCTGAGCGAGTTCGCTGCGCGTTTTTTGGAGCAAGTCCTCCGCGCAAGTTGCGCGGAGTAGTTCTCGTTGCAAGTTCACACGATACGTAGGTCAGCGCAGAGCCCAGTGGAAGAACCTTGCGCGACCTATGCTGCCAAACGGAAGGATAATGTCACCATTTTGCCAATGAACATGTCACAGAAAATGGCGACCCATGCTACCAAGGCAGCCCACAAAGAAGAAGTTGTCTCTGCAGGAAGGGCGTAGTTCAGCGCTGAAACCGTTCCTCTAAGTTGTTTGGATATCAGGCAGCGTGCCACTAGCAGCAACACGCGCAGGGGGGATTGGAGCCCAGGACCGCTCACTTCGAAGAACAGGCGCGCAAACCCATACCTACAGCAGCCTTGGAAAGCTGTACCGCTGTACCTGAAACTTAGAATGGGTTAGAAAGGAATGTCATTCATGCAAGCAAGGTTCGCTGAGCAAGTTCTCTGGGCAACTTTCTGAGCAAATTCTCTGTATGTCCCCTGATAAACTTCTCTAAGCCAAATCTCTGAGGTTTGTCTGAGCAAGTTTCTAGCAGAGTTCTCTCAGCAAGCTCTTTGAGCAAGTTTCTCTGAGCAAGTTCTCTATGCAACCCTGTGCGAGTACTCTGTGCAAACCCGGCGCAACGGAATCCAGCAGAAGAACCCTTCGCGATGCTTTGGGGCAAAACATCTGTCAAAGGTTGGCATGTTGCAAAGTGCAAAAAACAAAAAATCGCCTGTGTTCAGAGGGACTTTGGTCGTACGCAGCAAATGCAGCTGTTGACAATCGCTATGGCTTTTACAAATATCAATGCGTGAGCCGAGTGAACCACCCCTATCTGCATGCGAATGTACTCCCCCCATGTCGCTCCCTGCACACCCCAAGCTAGTCTTCAAATCACTTGAGTGCAAATTGTCATCAGGAACCCTCTGGTGGACACCATACATGGTGGGGATTTGCGTCCACCAACCACTTTGGTGGTTCCCAAGCAAAAAACTGAATGGCCACTTGGCCACTTGGCCAATCAGTGGGCGGCCCTTGGAGCTTTGAGGCAAGCACAGGCCGTAGGCCAGCGAGACTGCGGGGTTCAGATGGCCTCGCTTGGCGCGGGTTTTTGAGTCCACATGCCGCAGGCGCTTTGGCGAGTTTCGGACTTCAGGTGGGATGCTGGAATGGAAAGACGCACATACACGCATACACAAGGGTTAAAAAAAAAAAAAACGGAGAGCAAGAGAATGAAGACATTGCCAGTTTGGAGGGTTGGGAGTCGCCGGGCGGAGCTCTTGCCAAGCTCGGCACTGCCAGAGACCGCGCTGGTCGCTGTAATGGCAGCAATGGTCGCAAACCTCGCCAGCAAATTGTGCCGAGACGATCAGACCAGATGGACAGGACCTTCTCCCAGTTGGAAGTTCCCTTCCCCTCGCACCAACTAACACGGAACCTGACGTTGGGGTCCGGGTTTGGACCATTTTCCTTTTAAGAGGACCCCCGAACGTCGGGTTCCATGTTGATTAGGAGGGTAAACCCTTCAAATGTCCAAGGTCAAAATCTGAACCGGTGGATGGCTGTGGGACGCCGGCGCCATGCTGGTGGCACGCCATGCCCAGGATCCCACGAGATCGGCATCCCCTCGGCTTCGGCCGGAGACGCTGGGAATGAGCACGCGCGCTTTGCGCGAAGCGCGAAGGCCAAGCACCCGGCTCACGATGAGTAGGGCCGAGGTGAAGACCACCAAGAAGGTGCCTGGAATGACATTTGCAAGAGCATCCAAGACCCTGAGATGCGCCAAACCATCGAATGAATCGAAGCCGCCTGGCCTAAAAACTCCGCAAAGTACGTGGCGAAGGGTAGCACATACTCGGAAAGCTGCATGGGCTTGCTCTCAATGCCTGGCATTGGTCTACAGCCTTCCACACAGCTTTCCCAAACATGTCATGTGTCATGTGTTCAGGACTCGGACAAGCCTGGCCATTTGTGGGCACTTCCCATGGGCATTGCGCATTGCTAGCGCATATAGCTTGCGTGAGCACTCAGACTGAGCCGCGGACTTCGCTATCAGATCCAAGTCCGGGGTGGTTTTCCCTGAGCCAAACGCCAGCTCCGAGTTTTGAAACCTTCGCCCCCTTCCTCGGCCTCACCATTGTCACCCAGCTATCAGCAGTCTAATCCACGCGGATAGAAAGTCTATGACCATCAAGGCTCACACACCGAGCCAGCCGAAAGCCGTTGAGGCCAGGTCCGAAGCGGTCGGGCAGCGCAAGCAGCGCATGCCGACGAAGTGGTACCAAAACGGCAAGACTTGAGCCCAACATTCGTAAAATACAATAAGGTCAAAGGCAAATCATGGATTGCCGCACTCGAGTCACTTGGTCCAACTAAATCTGGAAAGACACGGACCGACCGAGACATGTTGACCTTGGCGTCTTGTAGAAGGTCTCTGGGCCCCAAGTTGCGGGCCTGGGAATTTCGAGCTTCCGGGCTTTCCGGAGTTTCGGTTTCAGGGATGCGGGGGTGGTTTGGATCATCATCTGGTGTCGGTTCGAGGGTTTAGATATAAAAGATGTGGAGTTCAGGCTTTACCGCTAGAAATTCCGGACTTTTGAGTCAAAGGCGTCTCGCGTTGCCGTTCCAGTGGGATTTGAGCGCTGCGTTTGTTTGGGCTTGGGGAGTCCGAGCTTCCGATTCCAAGGGTCCCCTTGCTGTTCGGGGTGCGCTTGCGGTGAGGTGGGCTTGGGGACCCCATTCGGGCTGTTGCGGTTTGGGGCTTGAGGCTCAAGGTCTAGGAGTCTAGGGCTTTCCCATCTCGGGCTGTTGCCGGTTTCGGGATTGGGGCAGTCCGCCCCGCGGCCCAGCAAGAGTGTGGCGTTGCCTGCACGGGCTTGCAAAGGCGCAAGCAGTGACCCACCTGCCACCTGTTGCAAGCACGTGCCAATGTGTAAAACAGGTTGCGATGCTCCAGGCGCAAGCAGCACCTTGTTGCGCGTGTGCTCAGCTCCGCGTGGACCGTGTGTCGCAGCTATGAGCTGCACCGAGTCCAAACACAAGAGCGCATCGACAGATTCAGCCTATGAGCCGGCGCTCCGCGCCGGGCCGCTGGTTTGCGACTTCTTCAAGCGCCAGAGTGAGCTGCGGCGTGGGCTCTTTGACGAGCTCCTTCCTGACCAGCTCCTTCCTGAGCTCCTGACAAAGATGCCAAGCTCCAGCCACTTGCCTCGAGTCCGCCCTCTTTCCCAATGTCACCTTGCAAATCATGAGTAAAATGGAACGACTGGGCGTGTTTCCTTCCAGCACGCGTGAAAAAAAATGGGCAGGTGGTTGCCGGTTGACACATCAACAATCTGCATCCAGGACCCCACCGGCAATGCCCCCGCCCCAAGCCCAAAGTGCCTTCCTTCACCGCGCATGGCGGATAAAGGCGGCGTCATGGTGCTGCCGTAGCGCTCTCATGGGCGTGCCGGCTTCAGCTTGAGCCTGCGTTCCACACGGGCTTGGCCTTTGAAGGTCAATTTTTGGGGTTGGTCGGGGTTTTGGAAACCAAAAGGCCATTCTTTCTGGATCCAACCAATGAGAGACACACATGGCACCACATGCATGCGCCTGGTCGACTCCGCCAACTCCTGATCCGCCCCTCGCCGACCGGACAGCCGCAACAGCCTCACCACCGGACCCACAAAAAGTCGAACGGAGACAACTCGTGTCGGGTGTCTGACGAAGCATGCAAAGGCCCAGCAAACTGCAAACTGCATGTGAGTCTGGACGAATTCCAAATTATGGATCTCCAATGCAAGGCGGCAGGGGAATGGTCCATAGTCTAAGCAGGAAACCATGGCGGGCACATTCTCACCGGGCCCGCACGACATGAGCATTAGAAGACACAAATAGACAGTGGCATTCCTGTGCACGTCTGATCTCAAACAACACGCAACCGTTTGCCGAGACACGGCTCGGCAGCGCTGGACACGGTGAAGGCACTCTGCTGAGGCTCTTCAAACCCGTCCATCTGCTCAGGCGAAGCAATACGTGGAGTGGCCTTTTGCACACCAAAGCCCGGCATACCACGTGGAGTCACCACAAAGTGCGCCGTGGCGACTCTTCGAGCTTCTCTGAAGGTTTCTTGGGGCTCCTCGACTTCCCCAACTTCACTGGGCTCCAGCTTCAGCTCCTTCAAGAGCTTGCGGTACCCGGTACTGCCCAGCGCCAATCTCGCCGCCCGACGCGCATACACATCGCCAGCCAGCCTCTGCCGCCCCGCCAGGAACGCGGCTCTTGCCACCTCCGCTGCCTTCTCATCGAGGCCTCTTTGAGCATTGCTTTGAGCATTGGCACAGGCAGAGATCAGGGCCCGCCGGCAAAAAGCGTCCACGTAAGGGAACTCGGTAGCCATCTCTTCCAGCAAAGACGACAGCGTATCATAGCGGCCCACCCTTGCCAACGCCTTCGAATAGGAACGATAACTCCCCAAGGTTGGTCGAAACTGCTGCCTCATCTCTGCCCATGTCTCACTTGCCAGCTTGTCATCATTCACAATGGCGGCCGCATTGAGGAGACAGTTGTAGGTGATGACATCCAGCTGCTTCGCGACTCTCATTCGGCGCATCCACTCTTGCATCCTGCATGGGTCCTGCTTCCAATTCAGCAGGAGGCTATTAAAGACCACCACCTCAGGCGCGACCCATTGCTTGGCCAGCCGAAAGAACCACTTCTCCGCCGTCAGCGGCCGCTGCGCGTTGGCGCACAACGTCATCACCGCGTTGGCGGTGAAGGTGTTGGGCCGCAAGCCACTGGCCTCCATGTGGCGCAGCGTCTTCTCGGCCTCGGGGAGATCGCCCGCAACGGCGCAGGCCCTGACGACGCCTGTGCAGGCGATCGTATCCTCCGCGAGACCTGGGCAAGCAGATATTTTTGTCTTGAAACTGCAGCAAAAAACCAGGGCTTAAAAACCAAACAAAAAAAACTCCAATGCTAGGACAACACAAGTAGAAAAAGACGGCGTTTTTCCCACCCGCCCGGGCCTTTCCCCTTCATCTCCTCAAGGGCCTTGCGCGCCGCAGCGACGTCGCCCGCCTGTGCACAGGCCGAGATCAGGGAGTAGTAGGCCTTGGCGTCCAAGCGCTCCGAAGCCTCGGCCCTCTGCATCCAGGACATGCACCGCTGCATGTCCCCCATCCGCGCGGAGGCCTGCGCAAGCAAATGGAGCACTGACTCGGAGAATTGGAGCCATCTTCCCCGGCTCCAAAGCAAAAACACCAAATCCCTAACAAATAAAAAACATGGCCCGCGACCTCGCAGAATTCCCCCAAAACCAAAAGGAGCGCAAAAACAAGGCCCATGTACTTAACAAGGCCCCAACAAGCGGTGAACGACGGACTTCGCTCCCCTCGGGCGCCTTCACGAGGGACCCGAAGGCGGCGGCGTCCGGGCGGCCCCGGCGCACCAGCTCTCGGAAGACCTGCTCCGCCTTCGCCCCCCGGCGCGCGGAGGCGTAGATGTTCCTTGGAGGTCGAAGGAAGGGTTTCGCAGGTGTGGAGGAGGAAAAGCCAGCCATGGGTCCGGGTTGTTTTGTCTTGTGTTGTTTTGTTTTTGTATAAAGGAAACCTGTTTTTGGGGGCGAAGGGATAAGTTTGTCTGGAGCTATGAAAATGGAGGAAACCTGGTTTGGGGCGAAGGGATAAATTTGCCTGGAGCTATGAAGATGCACACCTGCTTTGGGGCGAAGAAGGGGGAGTTGGTTGAAGGTACTTGGGACCTGGGGCGCTGAAGGAAAACCTGGAAACCGCCCAAACGCCTTGACCAGTGGCCTTCCAGAAGTTTGGAGTGCAGGAAACAGCAAAATGAGAGGCAATCCCTTCAAGAGCCAGAGTGAGCAATCAGAGATGGCGCTCATCTTCAAATGCCCCTCTTTCTGCCTCTTTCTCCCCTTCCTCCCTCTTCCTTCCTCTCTCTCCCTCTTTCTCCCCTTTCTCCCTCTTTCTTCTTCTTTCCCCTCTTTCTCCCTCTCTTCTCCTTCTCTTCTCTTTCTCTTTCTCCCTCTTTTCGAGTCTCAACATGGTGTTGAAGATCACCAAGTTCGGCTCCACCTTCATCTTCCGCATGTCCTGCAGCAGCTCCTCGGCCTCCTCCACCTTGTGCAACCTGAAAAAAGCGAGCCATCGGTCCCTCTGCGTTTTTTTCTTTCCCAACCAAGCTCACCCTACCTACCTGCCTGGTGCCTGCAACCCTGGCTCACCCTGCCCGGTGCCTGCAGTGCCTGGAACCCCTGGAACTCACCACCAACAGAAACCCCTCTCCTTTTTCCAATCATGAAAGTGCATCAGGCCCTGAGGGCTTTGGATGGTGGATGCTGGATGGTGGATGAGTCGCCAACGGGGACTTAAGTCCCCAAAAACAAAAAACAACACTTCCATTGGAGACTTGCTGGCAAGCGCTGAACCGCTTGCTTAGCGCTCCAAACTGCAAAAACCCTCTGAAAAACTCGTTGCGAAATCCGTACATCGAGCGACTTATGGCAGCTTTGAAGAACCGTTCCGAAGGTGACCACGTTGGGCTCGAAAGACATGTCCCGCATGTTGGTCAACCACTCCTCACGGTCTCAACCTCTGGACCCACAGCTTGCACGGCGACCAAAGCGAAGTCAGGCCAAAGTGTCAAGGTGAAATGCGCCAAACCGCCAAGAGTAAAAATACATCGAACCCTGCAGCTAGAAGAACTGTGGGCATGTCCTGTCTTTGGCGAGCCTTCTTTTGCTTGAAGGGAAACCGGATTGAATCCAGGAAGTTTGAGAGTTGACCACCCCATGTCGCAACATCTTGTCTTAAATCGGCATGCTCAGTTGCCACAGCGTTGTTTGTTCTTTTACCGGTCACGTGCGATTCGCGGTCACTTTGACTAGCTTGTCCGACTTGACTGACCCATTCGTCCGGATTGGGAACGTGATGCCTGATGCAAAGGATTAAGCTCGCACAGTTTCATGCGCACGCAACACTTATTTCATCATCACCGAAGTCAAGTGGACTCTCTTCGAGTTTACCTCATTCGATCCATTTCCTCCAATTCTGCAAATGGCGCACGTTGGCCAGCTTTCCGGCCGGGAGCTATATTTTCTCAGCTTACGATGCCTTGTACCTATGGCCGAACCAGCAAGCAGCTCCCTCGGTCCTTGGCTAATGTCATACGGCCACTGCTAGCAAAGCCGCTGATGATTGATGTGTACCTCGATGGAATGCTGCCTTTGAGCTACGTGCTTTTCATCTGTCATGGAGCCATATCCTCAAGAAACCCCATGCTTGAAGATGGAAGACTCGCGCTGTGAAGCCGTTTAGGGGCATCCCACAAGACCCATTGCTTGGTTTTACGGACATGGTGGAGGCTTTTATGGGCCTTACTAGGTCAGAACCACCTGCTGAACCAGGTAGCAACCACCTGCTGAACTGGCCCTTGAAGTTGTGGATTTTGTCGAGCCATGGGTGTGACCACCCTGGCAGCTCGCACCAGGGCACGTAATGACGTCTGCTCGCAGCTTCTGACCTTGTGGTGCCAAGCAAGCAAAACTTGGGGGCGATGGACAGTTGGACGCTGAGGCCCTATTTTGCAGCAGTCTCCTTCATTTTTCAGATACCGAGATTCTAGGGCCATCATCGTGTCATCGCTTTCCCATTTACCATCTGCCATCCACTTCACCGCCAGTACAACTCTTTACCTGGCTGGTGACTGATAGCTGCCATTTGCAGGATTTTGACCGCCATTACGTGGGTCCAAGGGCGAGACAAGGAAGAGAGCTGGATCATTTCCCAGCCATGCATCTCTCTCATTTTTGTTCCACATCCGAATGTAATTTTTAATAAATCATAATCAGGTCTACAGTGCGTTTCTAACCTTATTTATCTTTTTTATGTGTGTTTCTATTGTCAATTTCCCCAATCTGTGGAAAAACAAAATGAGATGAAGGAAAAAGATGCTGGAACGGTCCTTAACTTATTTATCTATCACTTGGACCGTTCCATTGTGAGTCTTTTATTGTGACAGGAACTCCGGAATCCAAAAATAAAGAATCTGGACTTGGACTGGATATCACACTTGGAGCTCACGTGGCTCCAGGATGAACTATCATAAGCTGTCAGGAAATCTCCACACGATTAATTGTCAAGCGGTGAGCGCTCATAAGATGACAATGTCCTTCACTCACCCTTGACAAGTTACCACACGCAGAGGGGAAATGGGTCGGAAGCATCGCGCATAGTGCGCCGCCACCAGATGGGGTAGAGCTGAAGGCTCAAAGTCGGAGTCAAGCAACCACGCCAAGCAGGCAACCAAGAAAGCAACCAACCAAGCAAGCGAGCGAGCAACCAAGCAAGCAAGCAAGCCAGCGCCAGCCAGCCGCGCACGCTAGTCAAGCAAGCCAATCAAAAAGGTCAAGGAAGTCTGAAAAACTGGGCAGGCAAAGCAAGAAAGCAAGGCAACGAACCAACCAAGCAACCAAGCAACCAAGCAACCCAGCAACCCAGCAACCCAGCAACCCAGCAACCCAGCAACCCAGCAACCCAGCAACCCAGCAACCAGCAAGAGGACACCAAGAGGACAAAAAGAGGACACCAAGCCCAGGAGGACGCCAAAGGCAAACAAGAGGAAGCCAGGAAACCAAGCCCCACTACTCTCCCCTTTTTCTTCGCTGCTGTTTTTTTGTCCTTCTCCTTTATTTCTCCATATGATTGTCGTTCTCGCTCTCTCTCTTGCTCTCTCTTCCTTGTGTTTCTCTTTGCGCGCGCTCTCGCTTTTGGTTCTTCTCACTCTTTTGTCTTTTCTCCCGCCTGCCTTTGCATCTTCGTCTGGAGGTTTCTTGGTTGCAAAATAGAGTCTAGGTGTCCATGGCGCGGGGGGACTTGCGCGAAAGGTTAGAACCCAGAAAAGTTTGCACTTGCGCAGGATCCATGCGCCGCAAAAGCTGGGATTCAGAAGTAGCCACGAACCAGGGAATCAGACGCGTCACCGCCGACACAAACCACAGTTGTTGGCAGTTCGCTTGGGCTGGGGGCTTCCGAGAAAAAACACAAGCGCAACTCTACATTTGAGAGAGTCAGAAAATACTTGTCAGCATTTAGCTCCCTTTTAGTCTCCGTTCAATTTTTCGGGAAACACCAAAAACATGAAATCCGTTTAGCACCCACTCCGAAGGAAATCGGAAAGGCGCGTCTGACGCTCGCTGAGCCAAGCACTTCGCATGTTGGACATGGCGGTCACCGCCAGCTTCATTTCTCCTGCCTGCCAGCAAACAAGCCATTTTGTTTTCGATAAGGGGCAAAACAACCACACAACAGCGGCGCGAAATGCCCAAAGGGCCGGGCTGCCCAACAACAGTGCCAATTGAGAACAAAACACCCAATCCTCCCGCAGCGATGATAACAAGCCCCCGATAGAAATGCGAACGTTCCGCAAAATGAACTAAAACGCTGCCCAAGAATGGCTAAACCAAACTGCTGCGCCCAACTTCTCTGCGCAGGTAGCCCTTTTCGAGTGGCTCTTTTCGCGCGCTCTGCACGAGCTGCTTCGCGCGAGTTGTTGTCGCGGCACTGTCCGTTAACTTGCGCACTGCGCAAGTTGCTCTGCGCAGGCTCTGCGCAAGTGCGCTGCAAAGTTCTCTGTCTGCGCAAGAACACTCTGCGCAACTTGCTCGGCTCAAGTTGCCTGCGCAATGGCCCTACGCAAGCTGCTCTTCGCCAACAGCCAAGCTACTCTGCGCAAGCGTTTCTCCCACGTGCCTTCGCGCGAGCGCGCTGCCCAGACGGCTCTTTGCAAGTCTGCGCGTCACTCTCCGCGAGTTCTCCCTGCAAGTTTCGTTGCAGGAGGTGCGATATTCGCGGGAGTGCACTTCGCGCGCCGCGTTAAGAATCTTCACTGTAGGAGCTTAACCTTAACTTACACAGTTGCTGACGCTGAGCCTCTATGCTTTCGCTTTACCCGAGCTCGGCCCAAGGTACCCAACCTTTCACACCCGATGCAAATGGATGTGCACATGGATCTGCGCAAGTAATCACTTCTTCCTAATTATAAAGGTCGCCCTAATAATAAAAGCCCTCCTCCAGAAGTCAAAAATCCGGCAATACTACTTTTAGAATAGGCCAATACTAAACCAATTCTAAACTACCCATTTTGACCGATTTTCCCGTTCGTCCTCCAAATCATCCGTATTAGGGGTACCTTTTTTTGCCCTGACTTCCCTTCAAAATAACTTCCCTGACTTCCTATCATCCATGAGTTCCCTTCACCCTGTGGCCCGCGCTGCCTGCTCCGCGGCCTGCCTTTTGACTTGGAAGTCTGGTTGTCTGGCTGTCTTCGCAGGTTGCACACACAAAAACCCACTCTCACACACACACACACTCGAACACACAACACTCAAGCACGAGGTTTCCCCCCCAAAAGAAGGGTCACCGTTTCCATTTAAATCTCTTACTTAAAAACAATCAGTTGAATGGTTTTTGGTGCCCGGAAAGGGGGGAACACATTCCCACTGATAACCAATACTAAAACCAAGCTACTCCCAAATGCTGCCCTAAAGTTCCGAAAACTGAACAGGGGACCCCTAATTATAAAAACCTCGGGGCTTTTTTGTATTAGGGGAGGGGGGGAGGGGGGACGTTTTATATTAGGGGGAAGCGATTAGCTCTATGCAAGTGTGCTCTGTGCAAGTCGTTCTGCGCAAGTTGGCCCAAGCGCTCCGCACGGAAGAACTCTTCGTGATGCTTTCTGGAAAACCGAAAGAATAAAAAGCGAAACTTTAGCTCAAAAACAAGTGCTGCCAGCATAGACCCCGAATAGCCAGAAACTCACTTAGACTTGGGTGTCACCAAAACAGTGCGACTAATAACTCAAAAATAAAAGAACAGAAACTTGAGGGCAAATCTTGCTGCACTGACAACCTTGCTCAGAGGACCCAACAAAAGCACCCTGCGCAACAGCGCCCTCAAACAACAGCACCCACCAAAAGAATTGGTCACGTCTTCCAACATCACCCTGCAGAAGAGCACCCAAAGCAACAAAGCACTCTGCGAAATAGCACCATGGCATCCTATGAACAAAGTGGTCGAGGGCATCGTCCTCGCCTTGGCATAGGCATTGATCAGGGAGTTGTAGCAGTTCGTGTTCGGCTGCACCGAGTGTCGCCTCTCTGAAACACATTGGCACTTGGGCTGCGAGCAAAGGCCAGTGGAAGAAGTGCAGCAGTGCAGCCCGGTGATCAGCAGGCAAGCAAAGCAAAGCAAAGCAAAGCCAAACAAGCTCGTTCCATGCCAGCCTCATCTGATCAAGAACGGCACCAGCAGATTCCACATCGCCAACCTCGCAAAAAACAATGCTCGAGACGGTGCGGCAAACGCGGCAGGGACAGAACCCGACCGGGTTCTGTATTGAGCTTGATTGGAAGAGGTTACTTGAACAACCCTCCCAAGCGTTACGCCTTAGGCTCTCAGAATGGCACCTTGCCGTAGCCGTCGAGCAAGGAGGTGAAGGGCGCAGGACTGCGCACTCCTTCCTGTGCAAAAATAGACGAGCGTGGCAGCATTCACTGAGAAGATTTAATAGCAGCCAGGGCGAGAGCATCCTTTTCCGGGCGCATCCACATTCGCCTTTCTCCTCTCTGCCGCGTCCGGGTCCACAGGGTGCCGAAAGCGCGGCACCGGTCTTGACCTCCTGACCTCTGCCTCCTTGGCCTTCAGTCCCGTGAGACCATCGCCCTCAGAACTTGTGCCAGGGCTCGATGGTATCATCCTCCTCCTCACCTGCCAGTCCTCGCTGCAGCTTTGCGTGGCTCAGTGCATGCTGACCGGGGCTTGCTTCAATGGGCGCTTGGAAGTCCCGGCCATCTCCAAGGTGACAAAACACAAAGCACCACCCGGCGAGAATGTGATCCAGGATCCAGCCGCTTTGCTCAAGTCTCAAAAAGGTCTTGGATTTGCAGACATCCAAATACAAACTTGGCTCGTGCCCGTGTGAAGCCAGCCAGCCCCGTTTGGTGAGGCCCACTAGATCTGCTCGGAAGATCTTCAGGTCCTTGGGGATAGAACTCGCGAAGGGGAGCAATATCATCCCGGCCTGGGTCGCCCCACCCGCGACTCGCGCGCGCAGCGCTCGCCCAGGGTTTAGACAGACCAACTCTTTCCACATTGCTGTGGGTCAAAATTAAGTACCCAAAATGGAACCCTGGCAAATAGAGCCAAGGATTAAAACGTGCGGTCCCTTAGTGATTTAAATTTGACCCATACCCACATGAAGCACTCAAAGTTGGCGCTTGTCCGACGCTTCACGATTGAAAAGCTGGAAAGTGTGACTAGCATCCTTCCGTGGGTCCACTTTTTCATTCACCCCGGAATTTGTTTCTTGCACGTTCAAGTTCGAATCTCATTTTGGGCAATCTACTCTGTCTTCGTTAATCTTCGCAGATGAGACCAGTCCGGATTCGCCAGACACCCAAAGCTGCCTCCGATTCGAGATCTTGAAGAGACATTGACAAATCCGGCAACCAGAAATTCCGGCCCCGGAGACTCTACCCTGAGGACAACACATGCTTTCAAGTGCTGCGTGTCCAAGATCGCGTCAACAGCCCCCGCGGCAGAAATGTCTGCAAAGCTGCTGTCCTGCCAACCAAGAAACTCTGGGCATGGAACGCATACAGACGTCTCTCCAACGACAGAGCGCAACACGACCTGCGGCGGCAAAGTTCCACAGAGCTCAAGCGGCTTTGTTTTCTCTTTTCATGTTTTTTCTCTTCTTCTTTTTTTCCGAATGGTTCGTCCAAGTTGGCAGAGCAAGAAAAGCTTTCATCTAGCACTGGCAAGAAAAAAACAAAATACAAACGTTCAACTGAAAATCAAGCGGAATTCTGCGTCGATCAGCGTATGTTCACAAACACTGGGAGGTAGGATCTGATGTCACAGCTGATGACAGGGGAATCATGGCTGGATAGGTAGGTCATTTCACAGGACACCGCATGTTAGAAAAGAAGTAGCCCCAACAGAATTGGCTTTCATTCACCTCTTCGACTCCTGCGAATTTGGCTATGGGTCAAAACGCCGGTTAGCCCCTAGTGAACATCCCAATCCCCACTATATAAAATAGGTCCAAATATGGGTGGTGCACCTACCAACCAAAATGGGATCCCATTGGTGTTGAGCCACGGCCATTTGGGGCACTGGCCCCCTGCAGCATAGCCACCGCCGCGGCGGCGGCGTCTTTCAAGGCCAGCAACGCCGCGATCCTGGCGAAGCGCATCCAAGTTCGCAGGGCAAGAAGGACCTGGCAATGTGCATGTATCACTGGGCTGTCCTCAGATTCCCCGCTAAAAGTGACTAACTTTTAGTGGGTCAAATGGAAATCCGCACAAAGCTAAGGGGATGGCTGGGAGCCATCAAGATCATACAGAGTATTATACGGTCATGAAATGTCCGGCGTAGCGTCAGCCTCCGTGGAAAATGTGTTATTTATTTTATATATAATTAAAAAAAAAAAAAGTGGACGGAAGCCTCATCCGGGGAAGGTTGTGCTCGTAGGCCGATGGCCTATCCTCGCGGCATGCGCCGTGCCAGCAAGCTCCAAGTTCCCGCAGATAAGGCTATCCCATATGGGGTGGAATTGCTGTTCGGGGATGTTCAGGGTTGACATCACATATGTATACATATGTGCATTTTTATATGTACATATGAAGGTATTTATGTGCACTTGGTGTTTGCTTCTTATTTGCATTTGTCTCAAATGGGAGGGGGAATTGTGTTCCACCATTGGCTTCTTTGACAAGAACCTTGGATCGGGTTCTAATCATTCAAGGCAAAGACTCACCTTGGTTGGACGATGCTCGAAATCTGCCCCGGTCAGTCCGCCAAGCCCTTCGCATAGGAGTCGTACATCCTGGCGACAAGATTGTCACGGGAAAACAAGGAAAGTGGATCAACCACTTTGCAAAAAAACGCTTGACACTTGAAACCTGTTTTCCTTTCGTCTGGCCTAAGAGCTCCCCAACTCCGTGCGCGGATGCGCGGATGCAAGAGTCCCAAATGGTCCGGCTCTGCGGAAGCCAGGAAAGCAATGAAATGGCCGGGTCCCAGCGTGCGTGGGTGCCGGCCGGGAAAAGAGCTAAGCAACTTGTGGCATATGCGGCAAAGCAGCAAAAGTAAATTCAGGCACCTGGCCTGAATCACATGTGCTCCGCCCGCGCTTTCCGAATTCGTTCCTTGCAAACCCTCTTTCATCCCGCCCCAGGAATTCCTACGATGGGTACACCGTGTGAGTCAGCAACACCTCGCCGTCGTAGTTCACCGACTCGATGAAGATCTCCGACTTGCTGATGGTGAGGTCGTAGAACCCGTACTGCGCCTCCCCGTACCAGTCCTCGGTGTTCTCGGGATCCGGGGTCGCCTCGGAGGTGATGCCTCCGCCCCCACCCGTGACGATGCAGGTGAGGCCCATGTGGTTCTTGGCGAAGTCGTCCGGGAACCAGAGCTCCTCTTAGCTTTCTGCTCCCCTGCGAAAAGTTTAACTTTTAGTGATTTAATGGAAGACCCGTTAGTTTGCAAAAAGTGAAAGTCCTAACATCCAAGCCAAATGCACCAAAGCTCCTGGTCGTGGCGGTGCCCGGTGACCAGGAGGTCCAGGCCCAGGTCCTTCAGGGACTTGTAGAAGCCCTGCTCGTGGCCGCAGGGGAAGTGGGTCACCGCAATCTGCCAGTCCCTTTGGCTCTTGGGCAGGATCCGGGTGACCCACTCCTTCTGCTCCGCCCACAAGGCCGCGAACCAGCCCGGGCAGGTGTCCACAGAACTCGGGCCCTCCGCGGCGGCGCAGGTGGCGCCCGGCCGGTTGTTCGCTCGGCTGCACATGTTGTGGTTGGGATCCTCCTCTGGGGGCTTCGCATCCACGAAGTTGGAGTCCAGGAAGTAGTAGTCCACGCTGAAGCCAAGGTCCGCATAGACCACGGAGGTGGAGTAGTACGGGGCAGGCATCACCCAACGGTTGCTGGCCCAGGTGTAGGACATCTGTTGGTCCCAGGCGTTGTCAAACTTGAAGCCACCCCAGTCATGGTTCCCCAGAACGCTGAACCAGGGCTTGTTGCTGAGCCCCGGGCCCTGGTAGATGCCTTCGAAGACCTGGTCGAACTGGTGCTTGGTGGGGTAGGAGATCTTGTTCATGGGGAAGCCACAGGTCTTCTCGATGCCTCCCCAGTAGAAGTTGTCTCCCACGTTCAGGATGTACCTGGGCTACACAAAACTTGGTAAGCGGCTGGCCCGGCCGGCGAAAGTACACTTGAACACAGCGACCCCCACCACCACACTGCATCGCGCTCTCTCAAAGCCGAACAACTACGCTCGACGCTCGTCCCTGAATGATCGGGGCTGAGGTGCTGGGGATCCTTCAGCGCGGCCCTGGCTTTGAAGGCGCTGGCCACCAGGATCTGGGGCTGGTCGTCCACGCCCGCCACGTAGCCGCACTCCGGGATGCACGGGGGCTGGCCCCGCGAGTTGAAGCACTGCACCAGCTCCTTGTCAAGGGTGGGTCAAAAATGTGTACCCAAAATGAGTCAGAATCAAAATATGTACCCAAAAAAACTACCCGGGTTTTGAGTGTGGCTGAAATGGGAACCCTGGTAAATGGAAACATGGATTAAACCTGTGGTCCCGTGGTGGTTTAATTTTGACCCACAGCCTTGTGGCCGCAGTACTCCACGGTGTGGGCCTTGTTCCACCGGCTCCGCGGGAAGACGCTGGGCCCCGGCCGGCGGCCCCAGTCGTAGGCCACGATGTTGGGCCGGCCCTGGGCGGTGTCCAAAGACCCGTCCATGCCGCCCCAGTCGCCGATGGCGAAGATGTGCATCTCCTGGGTGCCATGGACGGTGGTGGTAGGCCAGTGCTGGCCCTTGTATCCCATGGTCGTCTTGGGCGGCACGCAGCCGATGCCTTTGTTGCCGTCGCAGCCCGGGCGCATGGAGGCGTAGATCTGGTTCCCGGCGAAGCAGTCCGTGCAGGGCGGGTTGCTGCAGCCAGTGCAGGGCGGCAGCCCACAGAAGTTCTTGGCCCCTGGCGGGGCGCAGTAGTAGAGGCGCTGGAAATCCTGCAGCGTGGCCTGCTCATGATCCACCCCGGCGATGCTGGGCATGTTTTTGTACCAGCTGCCCGCGCTGGTGTCCCACTTGCCGCCGCCGGCCGCCCACTCCACCACCTCCTTGCAGTTCGCATTCTCCGGGAGGTCGAGGGCGCCACAATCCCCCTGCGCTGTCACACCCACGCGGAAGGAGCGGTTGGCCGCGTCTGCACCCAAGGCCGTCAGCGCCCACAACACGCGGGGCGTCATGGCAACGACCGATGCTTCTGGGGTCTTGAGGGAGGGGGTCTTGGGCCAATGTTAACCAATGCTTGAAGCTGTTTTGGCCCCAGGCCTCCCAATGGCAAATGCAGGGTTCACCGACGTTTTGGACGCGGAACAAGGACCTTGAGTTGTGTGCTGTCAAGGTTCACCAAAGCTTGATGACTGGCTGTCTTACAAAGGCACCAAATAGGGGCGGGGGAGGGGGGGGCAACAGGCGGGGGTGCCTCATTTGTGGATGCATGCGCCACAAAATGCTGATTTGCCATCTGTCCCACACGCATTGCCAGTACTACTTCTTCCTTCAACAAGCCCATCAAACAACAAGCCCTAACCCATCTTCATTGGTCTATGTATCCTCTTCACAGATTCCTGTAAGCAATCCATCGAGCCAGTGGCTCAAAATCAAACAGCTGGGGTTACCCAGCTTTAAGTCTTTGTTATAGAGCTGCCATTTTGGGGCACGGCCATGCCGCAACTCGAGCCATCCCCCCCCCCCCCATTTTTGGAGGAGAATCTGCGGCGGCGCCACATCCAGGCAGAGAGCACCGGGTCACCTCCGCCGCCTGGCACGCGGCTCTCAGCCGATCGTTTGGGGGGGGGGGTTGATCAAAAGGTCCGGGAGGGGAAAAGGGAAATGGGGGTTGATCCACAGGGCCGCGATACGTGGACCGTTGACGTTGGGGAAACCACCAAAAACAGACGAGATGCCCCACTAAATGGGAAGAGTTGCCCGTGGTCATTTGGGGGCCAGGAATATAGATCAACCCCCATGTTGTTCCCCCTGTTTCCCGCCAAAACAAGTAAAAACATGACCAAGTTTATGGCCAAAGACATTCTCCGAACACATGGCTCAAAGGCGCTAGCAGCTCAGACACCACGAGTGCAAAGGCGCAAGCGGGGACGCGTTGCCGTGAGCGCTCTTCTGCACCGTGCATTCATTCAATGGCACGCAGGCCCCGAGAAAAACAAATGGCCATGGGTCAAAATCCCGTACCCCAAGTGAACATCCCAATCCATCCCCACTAAAATAGACTAAAATGGGTGGTGCACCTACCCCAAAATGGTACCATTGGCTTTGACCCACAGCCAAATGATTCCCTTCTTTGCCACTTGGGCCGTCTCCGTGATGGGCTCCTCACCCCGTACACCACCCACCCACCCAACCCCGTCTAAGCTCCTGCGCGAAGACTACTGCAAAAAACGGAAGGAAGGCGCAGGGGTTCCAAGAAATCGTGTCACCCAAAACAACCCACCAGCAAAGAACTCACGCCTGAATGATGCCCAGTGGAAGCTTCCAGCGTTTCAGGGCTCTGGACCGGAAGTTTCCAAACTGGCCAGCGGGACTCAGATGGCCTTCCTGCCCCTCCGCGATGGCCTCAACCAGACCGCATCAGATGGCTGGGGGTCAAAATTAGGTACCCGAAATGGAACAAATCAGGCGGTCCATATCCTGGTGGTGTAAATTTTGACCCACACCCTCACGCTACTCATCGCACGCGTGGACTGCCTGGACCGGCTTCCAGAGCTGCGGCGGGCAACGCTCCTGACATGCAAACGCGATGGGAAACCGAGCGAAAACCAGGGGGGCTGGCGACAACCCAGGTCCCAAACTACAGGATTCCTGATGTGGGTGGCTCTTTTTTTATGGTTGGACCCCAAAAGGGTGGTTCTTCTTTTGGCCCCCCCCCAAAAAAAAAAAACGTGTGGTTTTGCGAATCGTTCTTCTGGCCAGCTCGTTTGAGAAGCGAAGTCCTCCCTCAAGGCCGCCGCGACATCCAGCAAAGTTGCCACCTTGGTAACCGCTCAGTTACCTGCACAGCTCTTCACAGCTGAGCTTCCGGCGGCCGCAAAGCAGGCACGGCAGAACCTGCAGATGAATCGAAAGGCCAGGGACGTGGCGCAAAAATTCTCAGCTTCGACTGGTGGCCAGACGAACAGCACGCGCATGATTGAAACTCACTTAAAAACTCACCTTGACCTTGACGCACTGCGACACAGGCAAGTAGTGTGCGTAGTGCTTAACTTCACAGGCCGTTGTCTCAAGCCACGGTGGCGCCCGCTACATCAATTGAATGCACTCAGCACGGCGCTTGTGCTTCGCAAGTTCCTTCCAGGGAAAGGAGCATCAAAGCTCATCCGAGTCAGAATCAAAACCTTGGTATTAGAATGGTCTACCCAAAATAACAAAAATGTTCGAAAAGGGGGCAGCACCTAGGTGTACCCAAAACCATAAAAATCTGTAAAAAGGCGGCCGCGCCGATTTATGGTTGAAACTCTCCCTTACTCACCTCCTCATGTGGGTCAACAGGAATCGTTGCATTGGTGGTCTAAATTCAAATTCCCCATACCCTCCATACCAACCCCGAGCAGGTCTTTTGACCATATCCGGAGGAATCCTTGTCTTAGCTTTACAAGCTGAAAACTTCTAAAACTCCTGCTTCCGATACGGGGGCTGCAAGCGGCTCTAGCTTTCAGGCAAAAGAGGATGATTCCCAGACTGGCTGCCAAGAAGAGGCGGAGGAAGAGAAAGCAAAAGAACACGTTCTTTGAGAGTTGGAAATCATCGAGGTGGCTGCGTTTGACACTTGCAAGCAGCACTCCTGATCGGACGCAAGCGCTTCTGCTACACAAACCTCAGCACACAAAAATCGCGACGAACTTCGGCCAGCTCTTTCGGACTGGAAAGTCTACTCGGTTGCTTTCTGCTCCCCCTGCTAACGGTTCGGCTTTCGGTGGTTTAGTGGAAAACCCATCAGTTGGCAAAAAGTTGAAGTCCTAACATCCAAGCAAAATGCACCGAAGTCTAAGTCAGCAACCGTTGCGAGGGACAAGCCTCGAGCAAGTGCTCTCACCTCAATGGCGACGGCCCAGATTTGAGAAAGCACAGCCAGGCACGCACCATGTCCGCATCGAAGGCGTATTCCTAGCAGGGTCATTCGTTGACAATAGCGCTAAAAAAGTGTTGTGGCCTTACCACTTTCACGGAGTAAGCACCTGCAACCCTGGCATTTTAGGGAAAAAACATCTCCGATTCCCAGCCCTGACGTCCTTGTCTGCCTCCGCCTTGATGGCGCCGGCATGTGCCTGGCCACTTCATGGATGCAAACCCATGCGGCTTTGAGCTTCATCCATGCTATGCCAGAAGGCATCCCACAGTATCGAGTTGTGTCAAACCAAATTGGGGATCTCCATGGGATCTCCCTTCGGCGTGAAGGGAGATCCCTGTGAACGAAGTCCCGCGCCTTCATGGCCTCTTCAGCCGTTTGCAGCGAAAAGGCCTCCGCAAACGCGGCAGTTTCGCAAGTTTTCTGAACATCGGGTGACTGCTGGCCGAGTTGCGGGCAAAGTCGCCTCTTTGCAGCTGTCCTGACGTGTCATTACCGCAAACCACGAGCATGTCAGCGGCACGCAAAGCGACTAGGGCCTAGTCACACCCAGCGACTACAAAAGACAATCAAACACACAAAGCAAGACAAGCCACACGCTCAGGCAAGCGCGGCGTGCCGTCAGCAAGCTGCCTCGACTCTGGCAATACTCGAAAAGTGTGTCCAAGTCATCGCACCTGCTAGTCGACATCGATGCTTGTGGTCCGTGGCCTGTTCCAATGTGTTCATTCCGCAGAAAACAGAAAAAACAGCCAGATTCGAGACTTCAGTGGTTCGCCCAGATGAAACTATACGTTTGTAGATGCATTTAGGCACTGCCGAAACAAGTCGCTCTAGGGTTGGAACTGCAAAAAGCAAGTAGCTTTCTGGGGTCGCAACATGAGGGGATTGACTAAGCTGAAAGTGTCCCTTTTCTAGCTTGCTCTTAGCTTTTGGCGCACAGCGCATGCATTCTCCAAAAAGGTACACTCAACGGAAGTGCGCAGTTTCTTGTTGTGTTTTGTTCCTTCTTATTTTTTCCGATGATAAGAACCTCCTATACACAAACAACATAATGCCCACTAAAATAGACTAAAATGGGTGGTGCACCTCTCTCAAAATGATACCATTGGCTTTGAACCATGGCCATGTGCATGCGCAGTATAGCCACCTTGCCGTGTCAAAGACCCAAAAACTCCGAGTCTGCGGCCCAGTGCCGGCGTTGGCAGGCTGGGCTGCAGTAGCGACAGCTCCGGCACTTCGAGCACGCCGCGGAGGCCCTCACGTGGTTTGCCGGAGCCACCGGAGGAGCCAAGGACAAGACCAGTCCGGAGCCCAGAAAATTACGAAGTCTAAATGGGGGTGTATTTTGTTGGGGGGAATCTATTTTGGGGCTGCTTTAAAGAGAAACCATAAGCAAACCTTTTTGGGTCCCTAATTTTATAGCACACCCAAATTCCTACAAGGGCTCCATACCCACACCCTTGCAACAACCACTCTCAGGCTGCGGCTTCTCTCCGCACAGGTCGCATTTCTCCCTGGGAGGCCAACAGCCACCAGTGGGCAGGGGTGAATACTAGGCTGCGGGTCAAAAATATGTACCCCAAATGGCATCCTGGTAAATGGAAACATGGACCAACACCTGCTAACCCCTGGTGGTTTTGATTTTCACCCATATCCAGGTGTTCTTGTTGTGAGGGTACGCTTTTGCCTGACTGCTTCAAAAGGAAACCAAGAGGAAAACCAACGTGTTGGGGGTCTCTCAAAAAGGCGTCACACCTGTGGGACCGAGCCATTCCAAATGATGGGCTTGCATGTGGCTTCCCCGAGAACTGAGATACATCCCAAGCATGCGGGCCTCTCAGAGAGCAAGGATTTGTCAAATCACAACTTACACTTGAATTGCAACTTCTGCATTCTCTCACTCTACTATGCATTCCGTGGCGTTGCCCTTTTAGCCACGTCAACAAGGAAACAAGACTCTGCGAGAGAACAGAGTGAGGCGGTTGCACACTGATCCTGGACTTTGGGGACATGCGTCTGTGATCACAGTCTTTCAGCCAAATCACCGACTGTGTTCCAGGGTTGAACGCCTGCAGGAGTTTACCCGGTAGGGCTAATGCAGCACAGCAGCTGGCTATATGCATCCCACGTCCTGAAGTTCAAGCTGACCCTCAAAGGCAGAGCGGTCAACATCCATTGGCTTGAGGTTCTACGTACATTACACGGGTCTGAGCCTCAAATGAAATGCGCCATGGAAAAACTTTGTCTGCGTGACCCCATTCACTGGCACGGACTTGGTAACTCGGGGGCCCATTGGATGTAAACGCCCATCTATGAACCCACGGCCAAAAAGAGACTGAAAAGCCTAGGTGCCCATTCACCCATGAACCAAGGGTTCATGAAGGACTTCATTCAGCCTTTCCACTCGATCTCATGGCCTTTTCACCCCAAGCAACTCCAAGCAACCCAAAGTCTGTCCTCATGGATGAGAGGCGCACGGCTCAGTTTTGGCGCATGGCTAAGCATGGCTAACCCACAGCTCCCAAGGGCTCGAGGGGAGGATACATCTGTGTCAAGCAACCACAAATGCAAATGCTGCTCTGCAAAAGCCTTCTATCACAAAAGCAAAAGGTGGCGCTAAAGCGAAAATCGCGGTCAAAAAACACGCATGCAACTGTTCGCGCATGTGTTTTAATGTCTCCCATGCGCTAGCGCTGCTTGAGCCACGGCATTGCTCTTGACACGTTCTCCCCCGCGAATCGTCGAGACCAAAGTGAAAGGCCTCCATGACCTTCGCCACCCACTTCTCCGCCTGCGCCGTTCCCATGGCGCGCGTTTTGGTCCCGTGTCGCCTTTCTCGTGCGCCCCGAGACGGAAAGTGGACGACCACGCCTCCGCCATGTCGCCCTTGCTCACACAGGCGCTCACAACCTCGGGCGATGATCGGCGCTCCGCGCTCGGGGACACAAGCGGGGAACGAGGTTTGCTAAGGGGGGGGGGGCCGTGGCAGGTCAGCAAAACGGGCCATGCCCGCTTGGGTGTTGGATGCTTCACTTTGGCATGCCCATCAAGGTAGGACCTGGCTTTTTGGACGGTAAATGGAAATTGAAAGACACCCAACCTCGAGGTGCCTAATTGTTTCATCCAGCCACTGCACCCATTCAGCTTCTTGCGGAGGTGTAAGTGAAAGCATCCGGCTCGAGACCTGCGCGCGGAATGATTCTCCGTGACGTTCAAACGGCCGACCGTCACTACCCACTCTGTCGTACAGCAACATACCTGTCGCATGAAGCAAAACCAGTTCCCACTTCGCAGGCCTGATCGTTTCATCTCCCAGTACCACCTGATGGCTGCGTCTGGATCGCCAGTCTGGCGCAAGAGCTCGGGAATCCAAACTCTTCATGTGGGTATGGGTCAAAATTAAACCAGCACAAAACCCGCAGGTGTTGGTCCATGTTTCCACTTACCAGGATCGATTTGGGCACCTATTGTTGACCCACAGCCATGTGACAAGTCAAAGGCGACCTGCCTTCACCGCTGCCGCCATGGCCGAATGGTAGCTCACCATGTCTGGCAGCACCTCATGATACACATGCGGCACAGTCTTACATCAGTGAAGCCTCAGCGCTGCACACCTTGGAGTTGCATGTGCTCCAACGTTCTCTGAACACCTCAGATCACGAGATTTGCCCCCAAGCGGGGAGTTGTGTTTTGAGGGTACCCATTGTTTGTGGATTTTACAGGAAAACCAAGAGGAACTCCACCGTTTTGTAGGGTCCCGTGAAAAAATCGCGCATTCAGCTCCCTTGCCCAACTCGGCCTGGAACATCTCCGGCCGACGCGCAAACCGCCAGCATAGCATTGCTCCTTAGGGCGAATTGGTCTCTGCCGGACACGACACCGAGTTGCCGCAACAGAAAAGCCGCTTTCACCGGCCAAGGCGCACCACTTCCGTCAGTGGGACTCCCAACTGCCGCATCTCCCGCAGATGATCCTGCGCCGCAAGACAGCCGGGCACGGTCTCACCTCTGCCAGCCATCTTTCCCCCTGTTCCTTGGCCAAAGGGTGCGCCCTACCCCCCCCAACATCATCCAGAAGGGCAGGCGACAAGTCCTCTTTGGCTTTTTCCCGAAAGCATGGCGAAGGGTTCTTCCGCTGGGTTCACTTGAGTTGTTCTCATGAGAGTCATTACAAGGTGTCATTGCAAGGAACCAGCATCATGAAAGTCATTGCAAGGAGTCATTGCAAGGAATCATCATCATGAAAGTCATTGCAAGGAGTCATTGCAAGGAGTCATTGCAAGGAGTCATTGCAAGGAGTCATTGCAAGGAGTCATTGCAAGGAGTCATTGCAAGGAGTCATTGCAAGGAGTCATTGCAAGGAGTCATTGCAAGGAGTCATTGCAAGGAGTCATTGCAAGGAGTCATTGCAAGGAGTCATTGCAAGGAGTCATTGCAAGGAGTCATTGCAAGGAGTCATTGCAAGGAGTCATTGCAAGGAGTCATTGCAAGGAGTCATTGCAAGGAGTCATTGCAAGGAGTCATTGCAAGGAGTCATTGCAAGGAGTCATTGCAAGGAGTCATTGCAAGGAGTCATTGCAAGGAGTCATTGCAAGGAGTCATTGCAAGGAGTCATTGCAAGGAGTCATTGCAAGGAGTCATGGCAAGGAGTCATTGCAAGGAGTCATTGCAAGGAGTCATTGCAAGGAGTCATTGCAAGGAGTCATTGCAAGGAGTCATGGCAAGGATTGCAACTTGCACTTGACTCCTTGCAATTGCAACTTGCACTTGACTCCATGCACTTGCAACTTGCACTTGACTCCATGCACTTGCAACTTGCACTTGACTCCATGCACTTGGCTCCTTGCACTTGGCTCCTTGCACTTGCAACTTGCACTTAACTCCGTGCACTTGCGACTTGCACTTGACTCCATGCACTTGGCTCCTTGCAACTTGCAATGGCTCTCATGACTCCTTGCAATGACTCCTTGCAATGACTCCTTGCAATGACTCCTTGCAATGACTCCTTGCAATGACTCCTTGCAATGACTCCTTGCAATGACTCCTTGCAATGACTCCTTGAAACAAGCAAGGAGTCAAGTGCAAGTTGCAAGTGCAAGGAGTCAAGTGCAATTGACTTGCGAGGAGTTAAAATCTCTTCTTAGGGCGGCGGGGTAGCGCCGACGACACTACACGAAAATCGACCCTCTGCGGGGATCGGCGTGGTCGAGGTGCAAAAACCCATGGTTTAAAGTTCCCGCGCGACCCTCTGCGGGGATCGGCGTGGTCGAGGTGCAAAAACCCATGGTTTTTTGCGGCTTCTAAAGTTCTAACTGGTCCTCGGGAGTTGTCTCGTGGTTCGCGCGCCTGCTCCCAGAACCGGCGGGTCGCGGGTTCGATTCCTCCCTGGTCCGCGGGCGGGCGTCGCAAGATGCAACTTGCATTTTAAAGCAACTTGCGCAGAGCAACTTGCGCAGAGCAAGTTGCACAGAGCAACTTGCGCAGACCAACTTGCACCGACCAGTTTGCGCAGAGCGCCTTGCCTAGAGCAACTTGCGCAGAGCAACTTGCGCAGAGCAACTTACGCAGAGCAACTTGCACAGAGCAACTTGCACAGAGCACCTTGCCTGGCGCTGTCTCGCGCTTGCTTCACGAATGCTTCGTGTAGGGAAAAAGAACGCATCCTGCAGCGTTGGGCCGACCTCGCTTGCGATGTTCTGCTTTCGGGCCAACCGTGGTCTAGTTTAGGACCAATTTTGGGCAAAAACGAGGCAGACTGCTGGCGCCCTGACTCGAGACTCCTCCGCATGTTGGAGGTCGCCCGAAGGCTCGCAGGACCGAATTGCGGAAGAGAAGCTATAGGCGTCTGGCCTCGCAACGACCGGGCGTACAACATATACATGACAGAATTCCCGGCCTGCCTTTGGGGCGTTGTAGCAAGAAAGAAACCACAAGAAAAGCTCTCTTATCTTGAGTATCTGAAATCTACCAGCATCCGCGTCCGCAGTTGCTATAGCTCATTGGTGCGAAGCGCTTCCGCTCTGTGGCCCGCTTCAGGGTGCCTCGTGCTCCTGGCAAGCCTCCTGCCTTTCAGGCTCAGACTTGGCGACGCTGCGCATGCTCAGCAGAACCTGGCATGTGCACAAAGCTCTCTAGCACGTAGATCGGGGTAGTACAGACAAATGGGGCCAAGAATCGGCACCCAAAATGGAACCTTGCTAACTCCCGTGGTTTGATTTTGACCCGGACAAAAATCCTTTCCGCGGCCAAAAATCCTTTCCGAGCCTCGTCTGCCGCGTCCATGTTTCCACAAGCCGCATGGGCATCGAGCAGTGTGTTGTAGGCCTCCAAACTCAGACAGTACATGCTTCGCTCCGCGTGAGCCACGTTCGCAGCCTGCAGGTCAGGCTCGAAGCCTGCCGCTCTCATCTCATTAAACCACCAGGCTGCACGGTCCGCATCTCCGGCCTGAAGCATGTCAGTCTGAAGAACGGCATCTCTTCTATTGACCCAAGAATTGCGCCTATTCCAACCCCATGAATGCTGGGTGTATGATCACCCATGTCATCTGTTCACAGCATTCCCAGCCAAACCAAACGTTTGCCTACTCTGCAACCTGCACGCTGGACAAAATTACGCTCATCATATCAAGACGTCCTGCAGCATGAGGACGGAACTGCAAAAAAGACCATCTCTCTTCATGAGCCAGAACCAAGACCCTGACTATAGCACGATGTTCAGTATGCAATCAAGCCAAAGCTTTTGCTGTAACTCTTCAACATGTCATGCCAGCTTTTAGCAAGAGTCAGGGAGGAAATGCTGTGGATACTCAATTGTGACACTGGCATCTGAGAATCTAAGAATAGCCTTTGTTTTTGGCTCGGAGAAGGAACCAACTTACCAAAGAATCGTTCCATACCCATGCTCACATGGCAGCTGAGACTTTCGATCTGCCTTATATTCACTGGCTCTATCAGAAGCTCGCCTGGGGGGTTGTTCCATGCTCCCCAAAAAGTCCCCCGCTGCCTCCCTACTCCCCCGATGCCACTACCGCCTTGGCGCACCGATGAATTCGCTCATTGTACCTGGACAAAGCATGCCGGCGCTTTCGCAACGGGTGGAACCAGGCGCACTGGGCCAACGACAGCTCAGCTTCGCCTCAATGTGTCTCCAAGTGGGAGATGGAACCCTCAAAACACGCAGACTGGTAGTTTTCCAGTGGGGTTCTGAAAGGCCCCCCTTACCTGATCAAGGTGCCCAGTCTGCGCTGGGTACTCAGGACCAGAAAAAAACTGACCAACCGGCACGCTGACCGAGTAGCAGACTGGCCCTTTGCAAGAATGGTTCAAAATGGAGAGTTTGCCATGACTCATTCAACTCTTGGTTTCAGTCCTCCAAAATTCTAGCGATGGCTCTAAGCTTGCTGCCAAAGTGTCTGATGCTGGCCTCAGCACAACTCTTGCCCGTCCCTGACCCAGCAAGTTGGAAGATTGATCTCATGCTCAAACTGTTTCACAAGCTCTTCAAGCAAAACGGATCCCAAGACGTCGTCAAAACCCTTTGTGACGCACCAAGGAAACGGAAACCTTGTGACAACTGCCCTCTCCATTATTACACAGCATGCCCAAGCTGTTGCAAAAAACCCTTGTGACACACCGCAAGCCCCTCACGGCCCGTCAGGACTTCCCTTTTCCCGAATCGGCTGGGGGTCGCAGCCAGGGCGGCAGGGCGCCAAGATCGGGCACCTGGAGGACTTCGACCCCAAACTAAAACCATCGTTTTGGCTCATCCCGTGTGCTGGAGAGGGCCCCAATTAATCTTCGATACAGTCTGGAGCCCACAGAACAGTGCGTGATTCATCAGCCCCCAAACAACTGCAAGCTGTTTTTTTTTTTTTTTTTTTTTTTTTTTATGTTGTCACTGGATTCAAACGTAGCCATCTTTCCTCAAATTTCGGCACCTCCCGCCTTCCCCCCCCCCAGGTGGCAAGCTCATTATTTTTCTCTGGCAGCCCCCCAGGCTGCTTTAGCCGTCGCGGGCATCGCCAAAGGTCTCATCATCTGCACCCATGACCTCGGCGCCGGCCGCCATGCTTCAGCTTTTGGCCGCCCATCTCGGGCTCCGAAAAGAAACGCCCACCACAGAAATGCGTCCACTTGCCGAGGGTGCCATTTTGGTACATTGTGACATGTCTTTGAGCAGCCAAATAAGCAGGACCTCTACTCGTAGCTGTATCAACAGGGAAATGATACATCTGAAAGCAGCCAACGCACATGTTGGAGCTGTTGACTGCGTGAGGCAAGCCTTGCGACATTGCGGAAGTACGGCAATAGTAAGCCCTCGGCTGCTGATGATTTCTGCTGCTGCTGCTTCCTGCTGATACCGGAAATGATGTCATCGATGCCTCCAGCAAGGCTCACATCTTGAAAACATCTAAGTGGAGGACAGCAACACAGGTCAGGCAGGCGGAGCAGCATCGCTGCTGCTTCGATGGCAGTCCTGTCAGAACAAACAAGACTCTGCATGTCAAAGATTAGCTGTGTCTGCAACAAAGAATGTGGGTCTGACTTTTCATTGGGGGCCCTTTGCTGGACATCATCTAGGTGAAAATCCATGTCCACAAACCACTTAGGGGGCTCCCTCTTAAAACACCCATAGGCCACAGAGGTCCTTCCATGTGAGCTCGTGGCCCATTCCGAGCCGATCCCTTGCCGCGGTCCTCAGGGTCTGCTGCTTCACCGCGAAGGTGTCAAAGATCCCCTGGGCCTTGGGTCGAAGAAGCCCACCTCTTCCGTCTTCCGCGACGGATGCCGCGACGCCGGCCTTCACGTCGGCCACCTTGCCCGTCTTCCCATCGATGCCAAAATGCGCATGGCCTCAAAAAAAGAGAAAGCAAACATCTGAGTGAGCATCTTGAGAACTTTCCCGGAGGCATCCCAAAAGGCGGACCTCACATACAGATTGAAACATGGTTGCCTCTCTCCTAGTTCCCTGAACAGGGACGGGTTGAAAGGCGTATGACCATTGACCCCGAGGATGCTTTGACTCATCTCGCCTGGAGCGGCATGCCGAGCGCGCAGGTCGGTCATGGCGCGCACCACATCCGAACCTCGCGGCCGATCAGGGCACTTGAGCGCCCCGAAATGACGAACCTACCCTCGACACGTCCTAAACTCACCCTCAATGAACCTTCAACCCCATCCAAACGCAATTCGGACCTACCCATCTCCGACCCCGAAACCAACCCGAAGCCCAACTTATACCCGTCTACTCTACCCACCCAAAACCAACCTCAACCCCACCTTGCTCACCCTTTAAGCCTTGAAGCAAACCTATGTTGTTTGTGTGTGTGCATATGTGTGCGTGTTTGTGTTTGTGTTCGTGCTACTCTTCGCACAGGGTTCTCCGGGTTCACCCGTCACCTGTGACTTTGAACTTTCGCGCGGCGCCACGCTGCGAGCATTCAAGTGCGATGTTTGAGCGCGACGTCCGAAAGTTGTCTTCGCGTGTTAAAAACTTTCGTGCCTCGAAGAGCGAAACCTTCACTTTGTGCGCACAAAACTTTCAGCGATCTTCTGAAACGGCCACAGGATTCCAACAAAGTCCGCACACGCTTTGAATTCGTCTTGCAATTCATGAAATGCAGCGCCTGCCACACTTGCTTTTGGAACATGCTGCACCTGCCATCTCACAGAATGCGGTGCTGGTAATGGAATCAAGCCATCAGCACACAAGTTCGATAATCGACACAACACTACAGCGAGGGCCCAGTTTCGAAAGACGGTGCATTTCGTGCGAGAGTATTGTGCTTAAAACATTGTTTTTGCAACAACTGCCACGGATTTGGAGCTCTGACTGTCCCAATGCATTTAGCCCGTACACAAAACGTGTTTGATGCAATGCTTCCTGCAAAACGTAGCCGCTGCCATCAAATGCTTTTAGCTCTTCAAGAACGCGGCGACGCTTCCTGCAGGAAACAAACATGACAACCTTGGTGTGTCGTGACCCTGCCATCAAACATGTAATTTCCATACGCAGTATTGGCACGGCACGGCGCGAGCGCAGTTTCGCAAAAAGGCACATTTTGTGCAAGACTGTCGTATCGAAGACAACTTTTTGCGGGAGTGCCGTGATTTCATGCAGAAATCCGCCCCAACTCAAACCCCAAGAACCCCATGGTGTTGCACACTGGTGGAACCAAACCAACGTAACCTAGCCCAACCTAGCACATGGCAAATCCATCCCGGACGCTTCAGGATGCCAAGCCGGGGCCATGCGACGCAAAATACTCCGATTGCTGGCCGTCTGTGGTTCATTCGGCGAAAACATCGGGGCGGGCCCCCATTTCCCTTGCTCAAAAGGTGGGTGGACAAGTCCTGCATTAGGTGTGCCAAACAAAAGCGCTGGCCATTTCGGTAGGTGGTTTCACTACCTGGTCTAGTAGGGTTGTTTGTGTACTGCCAGTAGATGCCTTGGGAATGTGTGGAGAAATTTGGATGCTTCGGCGTCGAATTAGAGTTGAATTGGGGTTAACCTCGGGTAAGGCTTGATTAGATTTGGTTTGAGGTTGGATGTAGCACGGGTTTCGGGGACTAGTGTGTGTGTGTGTGTGTATAGGCTTGGTTTCCAGTGAGCTCAGGTTGGGTGTTGTTGGGGCGGGTTTTTGGGTAGGCTTTCTGGGTGAGATTGGTATAAGGTTGGTTTAGGGTGAGTTAAGGAATTGATAGGCATAGGATGAGTTTAGGGTGGGAGAGTGGGTTTAGAGGATTTGAGGCTTGGGTTTGTGAGGATGGCATCCCACAACTATGCCGCTGGGAGCCGCACCGCAGTTGTGCGCCAAACTGCGAGGGATGACCTCAAGAGCCTCGCCCACCGCCCTGTAGGCGTACCTTCCGAACGCAAGCGGAGAGACACTCGGACTGCCTGCCACGCGAGGTCCCTTGGTTTCTATCTGCATGGTTCCTCGTGTCTCACCAGGATCCAAGCGCCGACGTGGGGCACTGGCGGCTGCCCTCGATGGTTTTGGACTTCTCCTTCCTCGGGTCGTGACGCGTGAGTCGCGGGCGACGTGCCACCGTTTTATTTCATCGCAACACTCGGATCCAGACAATCTAGCAGCCAACTCCATTTCCACGGCACCGCCACCAGGCAGGAGGGACCTACCCAATTTCGCTCCCAGCTGAAATCACAATCAGGCGCTTTAGAAAGCCGTTGAAACAGGACTCACAAGGTGCAACTGTGTTTTATTCGGAGACTGTCGTCTCTCTCTCTCTCTTTCTCTCTCTCTTTCTCCCTAGGCAAATATAAACAAGCAGGCAGCACGGCTCCAGAATGATATTGCGAGCGACACCCCAGGCGTCCTGCGAAGCACCCTTGATGAACAGCCACAGCGCAAAAAAATGCCAAACAGCTGCGAAAACGTGCTCAGACACACCTACTTAATTCAACTGGCACTGCATCAGCAACAAGCCGGAAACAGCATCAAATTCGCTGTCACCACTGGCATGCAAATCTGTGGCCTTCAGCAATGTGTGCGACTGAATCAGTAAATAAAGAGCCCACTCCCCATAGAGCAAAACGGTCGAACAATTTGAGGGCCAGATTGGCCTCCCCCAAGTTTAGAATTGGTTCGGGATTGGTTAGTATTGGTTCAGAATTGGTTTAGTATTGCTTTGTGTGCTGCCTTGGCTGTGGCTTATCCAGTTCTTTGCCCGGAGGTATCCACTTTCATTAGGGCAAAACTTCTGTATTTTGTACCCTTTGATTAATTGGGGACCGACATGGACGTTCAGATTCATCCTCCCCCATTGCCCGGAGTCATGCAAGTTGCGCTCGATCTCGTTCAGCACGTCCCTGGTGGCACCACGCAGAACAACGGAGCCTCAGCGTAGATTCAAAGGTTAAAGGCCCTCGCCAAGGATCGAATGCTAAGCCCGGGGCAAGCTTTTGGATCCTGGCGTGCAAACACTCAGCCAAGCTTGAATTGGAAAGATCGTTGGCATTCTCTTTTTGTTGGCTTCCGTTGGGGGGGGGGCTTGCGCCGCTTGGTTCAAGACTCATCCGGCAACCAAACTAACGGCCCAACCTCGGCAGGAAAGGTGGATGTTACACTGACATGGCAAGCGGTGTCTTCAACTCCAGGAAGAACAACATCCAACCCCGAAATTTCCCAAACCGCTCTGACTGCCTTGCACTCTGTCAGGAAGGTGAAGTATTCCTCCCCGATCTTCTGGACCTTGAAGCGGCCGCACCTCGGTAAGAACGGCGCCGGGTCGGGAGCCTCCTTGGATGGGCCTAAAGAATCCCTGTGACTCGTCTTTTTTTTCAGGTTGGGCCCCAAATTGGTGTTTGTCCTTTTGGCTCCCTTCAAAACCCACCCAAAAAAGGGGCTGCGCTGAGCAAAAACCACAAGCCACCCCACGAGCCCAAAGACTCGGCTCCAGGCTGGGTCCCCACCATCGCCTCTTGCAGCTCCTGCCGAAACCCACATCGACAACGGCAAAAAAAACATGCCAAGCGGTGAACATGTAAGGCTTCACTAGGGTGACATAGAAACATCCCAAAGCCAGCTTGAATTCATGAATTGTGAAAACATGATATGCTTTCAAACATAGGGCTCCTGCAACACGTGTTTGAATCATGTGGAACGCTTGATTGACTTCCGGCCGAGTTCCACAAAAAGGACAAAACTGTGAATGCCTGCCTCTGTCCGGTTGCAAATATGAGCCCCAGTGACTCTAGCCTCAGCAGCAAGTTTGAGGATGACTTGCAAGCGATTGAACGAGTCTTGAGTTCCGGGCAATTCGGTTGTTGTCAGTCTTCCGAATTCGGCGAATCACAGACACGCCACCCTGATTCAAGACTGTCAAGATACATATCACAGGGCCACATTGACAAAAGTGCCCGATCTCATGTGCAATGCGAGCCTTCATCAGGAAGTGCTGTGCCAAATCCTTGTGAGAAACAGAACATGCACTCAAATCGGAATGTGGCTCCGAACCAGGGAGTCCCGTCTTTGTTCTTTCACCGAAAAGCTGGGGGGCGGCAACCTGATTTTTGAGTTAGAGGCAAGCACGAGCTGAGCTGCAGGCAGACACTCCCTTTTCTGTAATCACAAGGTCTGGCTTCACCTTGAGGATGTCGTCACACACTCTTCTCATCTCTTCCTGCACGCCCATCTGCCATTCCATCCAAAAGCCATTGGAAATGGCCGACGCCCTCTAGAATTGCCTCTTGGCTTCTGTATGACTCCGGAGAACCCTGCACCCCGAATGCCCGGAAGCCGGTACTGCAACGCTGCCTCCTCCTGCTGCAGCAGCTTTTCCCAGTCGGACTCCTTGGTGATCTCGACGTTGGTCTGACCTTGCGACAGAGCCGTTGAACCGGGGAGCCAGAGTTCGGCGGACGGCTTCGGCCGAGCAGCTCTCGCCCTTCTTGTACTCCAAAGGGCAGTCCAAAAGCACCACCTCAAGGCACGAAAGGGCCTTTCAGGCACCCACATGCAAACTGGTTCCTCTGGTTGGGGCTGCCCCTTCTCAATCTACCCAGGTTGGGATGGCTCCAACCGCCGCCTGCAATAGCCAAGCCCCAAAACAAGCACCCAAATCGCACGTGCCGTCCAAGTGCAAGCCAAAACGCTCGCGGATTGGTGATCTCTCGCCGCATTCTTGGGTGTGTGATGTCCTTATTGAACATCACGCCGTCCAGCACCTGCAAACAGCCAATGACGACAGTGCCGCAAAAAAGGAGTCGTCCGAACCGAGTGGGAAAACGGGATGTAGAACAGCATGTGACATGCAGCCATATATCGCCATCTTGTCCACGAGAGCCGAAGCTGCTTAAACTCAAACGCCGCAGATGAGATGGTCTCATGCCAAGTCAGAGTTGGGCAGGAGCACTTCATACAAGACAGCACAGGACCTCTATCCTCGCGCTCCTTAAAGGGTCGACATCCATCTCTTGTGAAAAACGATGTGGCCCTCACTCAATCAGCCCAATCAGACATGGCTGAGGCCAAAGAAACAGTCGCCCCTCCCGACTCTCCCGCCTTGCAATCCGTCAGCTCGCCGCCCTGGATCTTCTCAACCTTGGCGTAGCGCTTCACGTCAATCTCCTGCGGCTCCGCTCGGATCGATCCGGATCCGATCAGGCTCCAAGCGGCTCGGCGGGTTGGCTGGTGGGATGGAAGGCTCGCTCGCTCGCTCGCTTGCTCTGCCCGGCGCTTGGCAAGCGCCTTGCGCCAAAACAAGTGCGTCGATTGGTCTGGAAGCAGCAAGCGTTCTCCCGGGCTTGTTGGAATGAGATCGAAGGAGGCTCCGAAGATGCCAACCCATGGGTTTGACCTGGAGTTCATGCATCCTGGGCTTCAGTTGCTGAGTGTCGAAAACCGGCCCACACCCGGCCAAACAGAGCGGGGGGCTTTGATTTGTCCATCATGGACATGGATTTTTGGGCCTAGTGTAGATGTGATTTGCCAGATTTCCTGGGAAAAGAATGTGGAAGGTACTGAGCCCCAAACACAAGAGCTCGAGCGAGCGCTCTGACGCTTCCTTGCGGCCGTCTGGCTTGACAATGCAGACAGTCTTCACTGCTTGGACGGCAAGATCAGAGATCAAGGTGCCGAACCTGGCACATTGGAGGGACACTATGATCCTAGACCTCCGGTTGATGGCCTGGCGGCAAACTTGGTGTCGATTGACCCGCGCACGATTTCGCGCAAAGCCTGGCAAGCAATCCACAACCGCATTTTTGTGTGTGTATGTGTCGATGCTCTGAAAGGCCTCTGGGTCATCCACGTTCACTGGATACCTTACAAACAAAAAGGATCTTGCTATCCTGAATCACAACACGCCGGATGAGATCTGCTTCGGCGTGCATGAAATTGTGATTCTCCATGGGACTCTGATTCAGAAAGCAAAGCCGTCAAAAACAAAAAAGATGTCCAGGCGCTTTGCCAGCCATGTGCTGTGCCAGATCCCAAACCTGAGGCCTCGACGCAATCTCCTTCAGCAACGTCTGCGCGTCCTCCAGTGCTTTCATGTAGCCCGACCTGGTTCTATTGACTCAGCGTGGCTCCATTCAATGGATCTGTGTGGCAACTCGTGCTGCCAATGCCATTTGTCAGTGGCTGAACTCGCACCGTGTCAAACAGAAACCTTGGTGCCACACACTATGAGTGTTGGATGGAGCTTCTTCTCCAGGAGGGGCTCTGCAACTCCCAGCAACTCCCTAGCAGAGACGCACACCACATGTGTTGTGAGAGCGAAAACTTGCTGGGGCGACCCTGCTAGAATGATCACGGAGGTGGTGCCATCACCAACCTCCTCATCCTGCGCGCGGCTCAGCCTGAGATTTAGCATTCCGTGAGTCATTCAAGGCACCAAGTGCGGATAGTCAGACTGGGGCACTGGCTCAATCATGTTTTTCGCTGCGGGGTGTGACACATCTACCTTCAGGGTCGCATTGCCATTAAGATGTCAAACGATAGCGGCGTTGATATGACTGATACGACTGCACAATGCAAGGCCTCTCGCAATATCGCATTGCCATCGTTCGTCATGACAATGCCCCCCATAGGGTCTAGCCTCTGGTCAGCCGGGATGTTGGCACGAAAACAAGGATTCAGGAGAATGGGGAGTCAAGTCACCCTGAACGAGACCAAAACACACACAGCACACATCACACAAAACACGCAACACACAACAGGCATCAATGCCTTGAGATGGTTTGCCCGTTGCGAAGCGGCTGGCGAGGCTTAATCCAACCCCCTAAAAGCGATTCCAGCCACCCGAAAGGCAATAAAGCACAATAGGACATTCGGAAATCACTGAAAATCATGACTTCCTCGGGCACAACTCATGACTGCGTGTCGTTTGAGTTACCCTGTTGGAGACTTGAACAGGAATGCCCCCTGTGGTTTTCCCACGGAGCCATTCGCATAGTCGGGCCCGAGGCCATGGCAGCATCTTCAGCATAGCGCGAGGACCTAGAGTCGTCCTCACGATCGCTGCCACCGTCTTGCCAGCCTCGCGAGATCGCCCGATCCACCGGCCGAGACACTCGAGCCCGCGGAGAGCCAGCCCTGTAGATGCGACACGTCCATGGGACGAAGCTCTGCTGCACGCCTGGATGTTGGTAAGCTGCGCCTTACGCCCCTGAGTCAAGCAAGTCGCTGGTATGCTCTCCACCCCCATGCAATGCATGGCAGGTCAAGCATCAAGCGAAGCCGTCGGTTGAGAGAGATGCGCTTCCGGCCTGATCCCTCTTGGCATTCTTGTTGATGACAAAAACACCCTGTTGCCCACCCCCAGGACCTCCCGGGCCACCCATCCCGGGCATCATGGTGGGCGACCTCGAATATGCGAGCTAAGCCTACATCGCCAGCCAGCCAGGGACTGGTGCTGCAAAGAAAATCATCCATTCTCTTCGAAAAAAAAATAATGGAAAAAAAACTGCTGAGCACGTGGCAGAGTTGGCGCAATGCAATGGTGGCGGTTGATTCTTTGGAGCCAAACCGGCGAACCCAATGAAGTTCGAACACATTTCAGGCGGGTCTCTATTGAATAGCAGCACAGAAATTACGCCAAACTTGGGATGTTCTGCAGGAAAAAACTGGACAGACCAGTTCGACGCGAGGAATGGCACCTGCAGGGGACAGCCCCGCGCAACCCCGCCATAAGCGCAGGCGACTCATGCTATGCTCCGCTGATGTGTCCAATGTCAAAACCATGCATAGTGTCTCTGAGTGTCTGTCAGTTTTTGTTGCAGTGTCTGTCAGTGTCTTGTGAGTGTAAGTCTGCCGTGGGCCTCCGAAATGCGAGCCACAGGTCAACACCAGCGCCATTCAATACAGCCCAAACCCAAGGTTCATGTCGCGCACATCGAGCGTGCTGTCTAAAAGCCCCCTCGGCCCTTCCCGAAAAGCTCGCGCGCCCGACCTTTTGCCCAGCTGAGACAGCTGTGCAGCTCGCGCAAGCAAAGAAGCCGGAGCAGAGATAGAAGACGGAGTTGTTTTTTCCAAAGGAATCTGCTGGTGCTTTCCAACACCCCGGTTTCAACCACTGAGAGTCCTAGATCATGGCTCAATGCGAAAATGCGCGAGCTGCGTGATCCGGTTTTGCGCTCCAAGCCCGGTCGAGCTTGATCTCCGGGACACAAATCGGTTGGAATTCCTCACCCAAAGGAACTAACAACTTGGAATCCGCATATGTATGCCTAAGGTCCCAGTGGTTCGATTTGGCGGCTGGTCACAAAAGCTGCTAGCCCTTGATGGCCCTTCCCCTTGTGACACAGGATCACAACAAGAACCTCCGAGTGGCTGGCGAGAACACCAGATGAAACGGTTGAGGCGCTTCACAAGTATGAACTTTTCAGCCCTCGAGTTATGTGTGTTTTCTGAACTGCTGCCATGCTTGGCATGGGCAGCACAGGATGCAAGTATTCGCTTCAGCTTACATGTCTGCTGATTGCCAAGTAGAGGCAAACCTCACCTGTCCATAATCTTCTCGGCCTAGCTTAGCATGCTCCAAAGCGCATGGATAAACCGCGCTAGGAGTTCGGCCAAAGACAAGTCCAGCTTCAGGTCTTCCTCGTCAATCTCAATGTCGAGGTTTCCATCGTACCTCGCGTTGATTTCGAGACTCGAGCTTTTTGCTCGCGGAGATTCTCACTGGACCATGAGGCCGATGGCGTCATGAATGACCCGCACCTGCCAAGGCGCAAGGAGAAGACACACAACAAAGGGGCGAAGCCCATAGGGGACCCATGGATCCCGGACCCAGGCAAAACGTGAGGGGCCTGTGCGATCAGCTCATCAATCTCCGGCTCATCCAACAGCTTTGCTGTCTTGGTGCGGCACCTTGGGCCAACTCACGATCTGCAAAACAAAGGCAGTGTGTCACCTGCCCCCAAGAGCATAAGACACCTCTCGTTGCATGGGTCAGACAAACAAGCTGAAAGCATTCGCGATTCCACCGCCGACTGGCTGAATCTGTGTTGTTGGAAATTGGTTTGATGACATGCCCTTTGGTGCTGATGGTGTCTCCAATGAGCGAGGTGTTTCATTTGACGGTTGATGGTTGGTGGTTGTGGTTGGCAGTGGATGGTGGTTCTTGTCATTAGCGGCTGAAGGCGGCGGCCGTTGACTCTGTGACATGTTGGCAACAGCCCGACGCATGGGGAGTTCTCAACAGCCTTGCCGCCTGAGCAGGCTCTACCTTGCGTCTGGAATCGAGACAGGTCGCTTTGGTCAAAGTCTGAGGTGCTGACTTTCTGTTTGCAGTGGGGCGGTTGATGACCACTCGGCGTACGGCATCGCGCTCAAAGATCGAGTCTCCTGGCAGGAGTACACAAAAAACATGCATCCCGGCACGGCAAAAAGAGATCAAGCAAAACCTGCGGCCACAAAGAGGATCTCAAGGAACAAGCGACCGAAAGTCCAGTCGCAGCCGAATGCAAGCAAATGCCAGCTCTGCCAATGGAGATGATGTTCTTCCAGCTCTGCTGCGCATAGCGGGAGTAGAAACCTGTGATCTCTTGCTCGAAGGCCATCTCCTGGCACTCTATCAGCCAACAAAGCTTCCAAAAGGCAGATGGACCCCTCAAAAACAGAGAGACACCCCCAAGCCGTTCAAAAAACAAAAGAAAAGGAAGAAACAAAAGAAGAAGAAGGAACACCCAAAAACGACTCCCCCAACAACAACAACAAAAAACATGCTCTCTCTGCGAACTCACGGCCTTCCACTTCTGGGGGGCCATCTCGTCCACCTGCTGCACTCGCTGCCCAGCGGCCTCTACGAAGCGACGGGTCTAGCCACCACAACCGCCAGTGTGATCGCAGCCCGGTGCCTTGCAGTCGTTTGGTCGCCTCCCTTCATACAGCTCAGAGAACCCCTGAACTGGCTCTGACGTCAACAGAGTTTGAGTGCCTGCAAGAGCTAGAGAATATCATGCGTTTTGAGGAGTCAGTCTGGAGTTGTTCTTGTTCTGTTTCGAGAGGTGCTCTTGGCGTTTTCCGCAGACAGCAAGAATCACCAGCGTGCTGTTGGTATCGTTTGAGCCTTCCCCGCGTACCAGGGCATCAACATGCCAATGATCCAACTGGCTCTAGACGAGGGGGGAAGGCAACAAATCAGCCACCAGTGGCAGCCGGGGATCGAAATGTCTTGGAATTGGCAGGCCATCCAGCCATACGCACAAAGGAACCTCGCTTTGCAGCGCTGTGAAATTCCAAGCCAGTGCGTTGCCTAGCGAATGGCTGCACCGAAACCTTTGAGATATAGGCTTCCTGCTGCAGCCTAAACTTCTGGTCACCTTCTCTGGTCTGATCAGGTGTTGCCTTCCGTGCGAAACAGCAAACTCTATTTACACCAGTCTGTGAACGCGATACATCCCTGACTCGGCGAAGAATCTGCTCGTCGCGGCTATGCTGATTCTGTGAATGGGAACCCCCAGGAGACCCACTTGAAGCGGTCCGCTGTGCGACTCTGGCCGACGCCATTGCCTTGTTCAAGCCGTTGGCTGTGTAGAGACCGGGCAAGGCCCGGCCCGGCGACGACCCACGAGCCTGGCATCGCGAGAGCCCCCTTCTGCCAATCGCTCCATAAAAAGAAGCTTGGCGTTTGCTGTCAGTCTTGTCTTCCGGTGCTCAGCAAGTAATGAAAAAAGAACCCTTACGAACCATCTGTGAGGGAATCCCTGGGTTCATTCCCACTTCCCCACTGGCACCAGCAAGTCATCTGTGGCAAGCGTGAAGGCAAGCATGGCCTTGTGGGCTGCTTCACAGGCCATAGTATCGAAAACAGATCTTGCCTCACGCCATCTGAGAAGCTTCCCGTTGTGGAATCCGTACAATTCTTGCCAGTGGATTGATGCCCATGCCTGTTGCCCGTAACCATTGACCATGGGGCAGGGCAAGTGGCTGTTGCTCAAAGAACTGGTGAATAAAAAGTTTCAGGCAACCTTGGCGGATCAGTTGCAGCTGCCAAGGAGCATAAATCACTTGGATTTGCGATACAATCGGCATCAGAGCTGGGAGAAAATTCCTGGCAGAAGACGCCACTCACCCGACCCGACGGAGCATGGCAAAGCACAGCAAAGCGCTTGCCTGCAAGAGGTTTCCACCCAAGGCTCCATAGCATTCGTCACAATAATGACCTGTGCAGAAGCCATGGCCATGCCGGACATGGAATCCAAATCATTCCCTCAGGGTTGTTTGGGAGGCAACCAGAGCTCTCAGAATTTTTCGCAGGGCATCTCAAACAACGCCAAAACATTTGCATAGCGCCTTGCCCATCTTCATCGCAAGCTTCAAGGTGGCCTGCTGACAGCTGATCCGAAGCGAAATGCCATGGTTGCCTCCATAGAAAGCGAGCCTCGAGGGTGCTTTGAGACACGTAACCCAAATGCCGGGGAAGGGTTTAGATCATGTGCGAATCTGTTCCTGCCCGCCTCTACATGCCGTTGCAATTCCCGCAAGGGCCCCTGGTACCTGAATGTGACTGCCAAATTCAAACGTAAACATCCTCACTGCCTCTACAAGCTGCATGTTCAAAAGCGCGCACTTCTCATCTGGAGGGCAGGGCTTGAAGAAGCTCAAAGCTGGGCGATTCTGCAGGGGTGGCAACACAAGACCACAAGACACGAGACGCCCGCAGCTATGAGCTGTACACATTTTTGGGGAGAGGTTTTCCGTTCACTCAACTCCCCTCCTCTCTTATCCAATTTGATGGACAAAGCGTGTCGTCCCAGTCGAAAAGGATGATGGTCTGCTCAGGTCTGATGTACCTGGACCAAGACCTCACTCAAAAAACCGCCTTGAACAGACTGCGCTTTTGATCTCTGCGGGCTCAAAGCCGAGAGCAGTGGCACCCTCAAATCCGCAAGCGCTTGCGCAGCGCTGACCGCTTTTGGGTGAGCTAGAGTGCTTGAGACGTATTTCGGCAAGCGTGAACAATCAACTATGGCCAACAAGCATGACCAAATGGACCTCAAAAGAACACACACCCACACCTGAATCTGGCGAAATGAGAATGTAAACAGGCAAAATGACTGGGTTTAGGAGGGTCTTGGAACATTCCCTGGGGCTCTGGCTTAAATCCTCATGGAAAATCTGCAGTTCCCCTCTCGCCATGGGCACTCTGCTTGGCTCCCGGTGCTGGTGATGGACTCGATGGTTTGCCGAATCGTGGGCTTCAGGCGCGCGCTTCCGCTCGGCGGCGCCTCTCTTCGGCGCGCGAAGGCGCTCCAGTTTGAAAGGTCAAACGTCAGTGGGACTCGAAGATTCGAAGATCCACAAGCCAATGGTGCGAAACCTCGACTTCATATTTCGAATTCTCTGGTCCCACTCGAAACCTCCAAGTGAAACAAGAAAGTGTCATGATTGGACCGTGACTGCTCGAACTTCAGAACTTCAAAACCCACAAGAAACTTCTGAAACACTGCACAGGATGAGCGCAAGCATGGCGAACTCAGGTGCTTCTGTCTCGGCCTTCAGCCCGTTCCCGGTCATGCCACCGACTCGCCGCGTAACCTGCCCATCCAGCTGGCCCTCCCGCTACTTCCAGTCTCTGCCAGTCCCGCCCTCAGGGCCCAAAGCCTAAATTTTGGCCTCCAGCTGAGTCATAATCAAAACCCGGAAATGGTCTACCCAGAACCATGTAAAGAATTAAGGCGGATATCCGCAGCTATTCATGGTTGGGATTGTCCCTTACTAACCTTCATCTACCCGGGTTTTGATTGTGGCTCAGCTGATTTGCGCGCCGAAATACGTCTCGCTGGGTGCCCTGCCACCGGCCCCGAGCCATTTGCTTGCCTGGCCGCCATGCGCCTCCAGGCGATCCGCGCATCTCACGCAGGGGGAGGTTTCAAGGCCCGCCTAGTCAACAGCACGCAACGGCGCACTTGCCCAACCCGGACATCTTGAGCCCAAATACCCAATCAACGTGGCTCGTTGCCCAGATCAAGCAACGCTCACCGAGTGACTGCCACAAAAGCCCGTGGTTTCAGAAACCAGAAATTCCCAGCGGCGGCGCTCGCTCGCTTTTGCAGCCGCGGTCCATTCAACCGCGGGGGTTCTCTTCACATCATCTGCTCCCTTGGGCCAGCCGCCAGCGCTTGATTGAACCGACCGCCCGGCGGCTCAGGACCCGACTGGCTGGGAGCCGCGGCCGGACCCTGGGCCAAAACCCAGGTGCCAAGCGTTTCGGGCACCCGGCCATGCTGTTGTTTTTTGCTTTTGTTCTTCCATACTTGGAAGGGAAACAAACGAGCAGAAAACGGGTTGACCCTTCCCATTCTCCTTCCGAGAAAAAGAAAAAATGGGGAGGTTTGGGAGGGGGGAACGGGGGGCAACTCTCCGAAGCAAACCGCCTGCATCGCCTCCTTCGTACAGGAAGGTCCACCTGGCCTTGGTGGATGGTGGGTTCACAATGGACCCTGTTGAGAGACTCTGCAAATGCATGGTCTCAACTCACATTGGGATGACAAACAACTGGCGTGCACCCAAAAGCTTTGGAACTTCCAGTTTTGCACCTATGTGACTGGACGCACCTTGCCATATAGAGAGTGAACAACCGAGGGCGAGACTGACCCGCCTGACAGGCAAAGGTTGACAACTCTCGAGGTGAGAACAATTGGACTTTTGTGGACCCAGGCTTTTGGGACAACCTTCCTCCTTGCAGCTTGTGGGCATTGGTGCAATACACACGCTGAAGCTGCCTCCCACTCTTTTCTCATCAGCTCCACGGCAATCATCTGCGTCTTCATGAACTCCACCTTCTCGTCATCCCCCAGGCGCTTCACATATCCTACCCTGCAGCCATCGTCATGCTCAGGCCAGAAACTCCAAAGATGCGAAGAAAAAAGCACGGCCAAGCACGGCCAAGCACAAAAGAATGGGGTCTAACGTTACTTTTGAAACGCATATAAGAATAAGAATAAGAACAAGAATGAGATGATGATGATCATCATGATGATGATGATGAGAAGAGCGATGACATCATAATAAGGGTGATCATGATGATAACTATCATCGTAACACCCTTTGCATCACCAGTGCTGCCTAATAAGAGATGATGATGACCTCCTCGGCATCACCAGTGCCGGCTAATAAGAGATGAGAATAACCATGATGATAGTGATGATAAGGATGAGGACTGTGACGTAGCATCCTCTGCATTGCCAATGGGGTCTAACGTTACTTTTGAAATGCATATAAGAATAAGAATGAGTTCATCATCATCATCATCATCATCATCATCATCATCATCATCATCATCATTTTCATCATCATGTTCATCATCATCATCATCATTTTCATCATGTTCCTCATCATGTTCATCACTACGCATCCGGTCTTTACAACGCATCCTCTGCATTCCAGTAACGGCACTTGAAACGTATCTGAAAGAAGAGCGCCAGAGCCTGCCCTCCGGAGGAAGATTCTGGAAAACCTGGCAGTCGGAAAGGAACTGTCACGCGCGTGAGTCGTGACAGTCAGCAGTCAGGTCTCAGGTTGGAGCCACAGCCTGTGATTCTCACGTGAAAAGGTGACGCTCAGGCAAAAGAATGCGGCTGTGGATTGCAGCAACAGAAGGCAACCACAGCACCCCCGCACCAGGAATCAAAACAATGAACAGCAAGATCGCAAACAAACCAAGCAACAGTGAAGCTGACCAAGTTGGGCATGCGAGAATGCATGAAGCCAACAGGCTGCCTACCCAACAACCCTTCTGTGGTGCATCAACCGTTTTCCATGTTGGCAGCATATCTACATCTCGTGCCATGCCTGTGGTGTGATTGGGGTCTTATGCCTCGGGTGGGGGTCACCCTGAATGCACAGACGATCGAGAAGCAACCTCCCAGAGTCGCCTGCATCTTTTTGAAGGTTTTCTCGTTCATGAAGCTCTTCTTCCTGTGGAAAAAAATGCATTTCGTAGGCATGTGAGTAATCACAAGCCGGGCAAGTGAAGGTGTGCAAGGGACAATCCCAACCATAAATAGTTGCGGCTTGATTCTTTCCATGATTCTGAGTGGACCATTTCAATAAGAGACTTTGATTGTGACTTTGAGCTTCTGCAACTCCTCCAAGGCTCTACGTCTCTAAGGCGCTAAGGCTCTGGCTCCTCGACGGACATCTTGGCCACGCTTTCTCTCGCCTCTGCGATGAAGCGCTGCATCTCTTCCGTGAGTTCCTTGTCTACCATGGGCCTGGGAGACCAAGTTGCAAGATGGAAACCAACCGAAGGGTTCGCATGGGTCCATAGAAAGGCGTTGGCTTGAGGTCAATCAGGAAACACGTGTGCTGACAGCTCGAAAGCTCGAGCACGGCCCGAGAGATGGACATCATGGGTGTCTGCGGCAATTGACCACCCCCTTCCTGCCGCAAATCGGCGGAGCAAATGGCATCCAGCTCTTGTCAACGGTGGCCTGGTGAGCCTTGACGGCGCTCATACAGGTCTGCGATGCCTTCTTCATCCAAACCTGCGAGCGATTGAATCCCTGGCCATTGGGGCCCGCTTGGTCTATATAATCATGTGGCCATGGATCGAAATCCCGGTTAGCCCCCAGTGAACATCCCAATCCCAATTAAAATAGACTAAAATGGGTGGTGCACCTATTCCACAGTAAAACGGTATCATTGGCCTTGACCCACAACCATATAATCACAAACTGCTCAAATTTGGCAAATTTGAGATTCGCTGCTTGAACTGGAACTGGCAAGCAGCAAGCAAGCTGAGCCAGGGAAGCAGAGAACCAGCAGCGCATCTCTCCATGAAGCGCCTGCATCTTTTGCGCTATCTCCGGGTCCTTCGGAAAGTCCTGGCACTGAAGCGCTAGTTGTGCTCAAGCAACAGGCCCGAGCCCCGACAATGAGAGAGGGCACCAGGCTATTCAAGGAACGGCATGTCATATCAACTGGGTTCAAATCCATAGGCGCAGGGCTTAACAATTCTGTGTACCAGTGTCCTGCGTAATTCTCGACAGCATAGCGCAGCCATGATCCTTCTCGAAGCCCAGGTCCTAATGAACAGGGTTTTGCTGGTATCTCACGGATTCATAAATGTTTGGTTGATTAATGGGGGTGAGGTGTCCCCCGTTAGTGGGGATTCATCACTTTTGGAGGGAACCCCCCTAATAATGGGACAGGTTTATTAATCCTGGGTCAACATTAGCGTGCTAGTCAGGTCCAATCCTCAAGAAGGTCAGTCTGGAACTTAATGATCACCTCATTCGGCACCTCAGTGACATGTGTACGCGTACCAGGCGAGGAATGGTGAGGAAAACACTTAATCCTGAGCGAAAAACTGAGACATGCTTCTCCTCACTGCAAAAGCAAATGAACCGAGACCTACCCTCACGGCGCCCATAGACAAAGCCAAACACTCACTTCCAATCCAGCAATCATTTCTGAGGATGATCCCCTTGCAAAGCATGTCCATTTTGTCTTGCCTGACAGCATGACTGGACGCAGTTCCCTGATGACCTGATCAACATGTTTCGAAACATTGCATTGGACATTTGATACTTACATTTCGCCGCAGGCCAAGATGTAATGCCTCATGTTCCCTGCGTCATTGGTTTTGAGGACAAAGTCGGCGCTCCTCCAGAATCCTCAACGATACTCTGCTATTGTTTTTATCGCTGCTTGTTTCTTGCCTGAGCATGGACTCTTTGACACGTGCAAAACTTACATGTTTGCTGATCTGTATCCCCCTCATTGGTCTGCCTGCGAGATTGGACGCGAGACAGGTGTGGAGACTCCCACTAAGGACAATCAGCATCTTTGCATATTCAACCTCGCCATACAGCCTGAGGCCCTTGCTTTTTACGTTGCCTATTGCAGGGACAGAAAGTTGGTGCGTGGCTGCGTTGATTTGATGCAGCGGCTGCTTCGCAAGATTAATCCTACTTCATTGAACAAGGATGACACCGATGAACTTCTTTGCCGCACAAAAGTTGCCACAACGGAGTCCACTGGATGCCCTGCAACACCTGTTCAAAGCAGGCCGGCTTGGCGCTCCCGCTTTGCCATGCTGGGCGAGGTACGTCAGGAGGGTCTGACACGGCCGAAAGAGCATGCAAAGACTGCATGGGTATGTGGACAAAAGCCTTTTTTGATCATGGCATTGGGAAATGAGTCCAAACGGACAGCAGCAGTGAGCTCTTGCTTTCAACAAAACTGCCGCAAATGCTTGAAGGTTGGGCACATCCGAATCAGCTAGCAAAGATCCTTAAGTTATACTGAACAGCTGGTCTGGCACCGAGTGCGTTGCACACATACCACTCCCATCCCCTGTCGCCTCCCTGGTTTCGGGCAGATCCATCCTGCACGCACGTAGCCGGAGTGCGGCCCAATCACTGCGGAATGGCAGCAGTTGGCGGGGCCTGGTGTTGCAAGCGTCAAAGAACTCAAGGATGACTGCCTGAGACAGAAACAAGCGCATCTTCCGCAAGATAACGCAAGACAGCTCCGCATTCCAAAAAATGCAAGCTGAGTATCTCTCCTACCGCCTCACCGCCTGCTCGCCTCGAAGCCTTCTCTGGGTGCCGCACTCTTGGCAGTGGCCTCTTCTTCTCGAGGCTCCCTGGCCTGCGGTCCTTCAAGGCTTGCAGATACCTGAGATGCCAAACCCCGGCCACCCCCCCCAAAAAAGAGGCGGCCCGGGCACAAGAAGCAACAGACACGTAGGGAAAATCAAAAAGGAAGCAGCAGCTGGTTGAAAGCTAGGTCTACAAATCTATCAGCTTGCACCTCTTCTGCCAACCAAGTTGCGTTCTCATGGCTGTGAACATGAACTCTTGGCGCGCTGCCAGGAGATCTTTGTTTCCTGAAACGAGTCAGGATGCAAGTCGCGCCAGTCAAATGCGTTTGGCTTGACGCCGAGACAATCCGGAGTCCTTCTTTTGTACCTGAGTTTCAATTTCAAGCTCACACCCAAATGCTGTGCGCATACACCAGGCGATGCTTGCCAAGGTCCGTTGCCGGCTTGATGTTTGGGCAACAAATTACACTGTAGTTGCTGATGTGTGAGAAGTATCAAACAAACTGGAACTGTAAACCGGAACTCGAATTGATCCGATTCGTCCGTCACCAACCCGTTCCGCTGGGCATTGCATCGGGGCATTGGATGCTAGCCACGTTGCAATCAATTTCGTCCAAGGCCTTGCAGCCCACGTCCGCATCGAAGCCCAGCGGAGCCCACCTAATGCATCACTTCCCATGGCTCGCTCTTCACGGGTTGCGAGAGATCCAGACCCAGCTCTCTGCAGCTCGATCAATCTTTGGCCTGCATGTGGAACCGCTTTGGTGTCCTTTCAGGGCGATTGACTCACTGAGACGAGAAAAGATGGTGCCCCGCCTTTAACAGCTCCCGCGTGCTGTCGTTCTGCATCATTCTGATCTAGGAGAGCTTGCACTCCCAGCAGTGCCATCACATCCAAAAAATGAGCAATAGGCACCCAACGCCAGATTGCAGAAAATCCAACATCGCCTGGCAAAAGTGAGCATTTCCACCTTTGAGGTCGTGGTTCCGCCCGGCCTCCTTGGAAACTTTCGGCATGGTTCCTTCAACTCAATCTGCGATTGCGGAAGTGGAGAATGTCAGCTAAATGCGCCTGATACGCCGGAAGCCCAGCTATCGATTGAAAGGACTTCCGGATTGTGTATTTGAAGTAGTGTTGTGCTCACCATGTTGCTGCGTGGCTGCTGAAAAACCAAAGCTGCAACCATTTATAGTCTTTGATGTGTAGCGCTGTGGCCGTGAGCCAAAGCCCAGCCGATTTTTGATGCGAGGTTTTCTTGCTATAGCATGGTGTAAAAAACAACATGGCCGCTATATTTGACATCTTACACGTGTGTTGAACTTCCTCACTCCCACTCACCCAGACCTCAGTGTGCCGAAAAAATGCCTCAAACTGGGTGAAACTGAGTTTTTGGTCTGCGAACAGCCAAAAACATTGATCTGTACACGCGTCAAAAAGAACAATGGAAATGCGCAAAAGCGACGACAATGTGATTGAAGAGAAAAACACAAAGCAGGTAAATGGTTTGGGAAAGTGATGGTAAGGCGACCTGTGGGAACAGAGGTTGGAAGCTCAGAAAAAAAGAGCAATATATGTGTTGAGTGAATGCAACAACAACTTTGCAGGAGGGGGTCAGGCACGAACCAAAAGGGAAATATCTGGCGGCAAAAGGTGCATCGAAGTCAAAGTCGAGGCAAAAAGAAATTGGAAAACACGTTCATCATCGTTTCTGCTGGCATCTTCCAACTTTGCCGTGAGCACGCTAAACGAGCACTTTTCTGCACCAATGTGGTTCATGACGGTCGGCTAAAACAATGCTCAAACAAAAAATACTTATTTAAAAAAAATGTACCCTACCCCAGCGCCGCTTACCCTCATTGCCGACGTCCAAACAACCCAAACATACAAGGCACACACAACACAGAGCGGCCCGCCAACCAAACCAAAACACAAACAAGCAACAAGCACAAAGCTGCTATCGTGGAGGGGGTGAAATGTTGCATCAAGTCACGCTGAATCAAAGCGGTAACACTGCATCTTTCCCTTTCATTGACCTTAAAAAAAAAGGAAAAAAACGGATGTCGCTCTTGGCGTCCAGTCCAAAAGCACAAGCGTCATGGGTGGCCGGCCCCCTTTCGCAACGTATCAAATCGAATCGCGGCGGTTTAAGTTAAATGCACAAATGCATTTACTCGAGCCCAAAAACACGTTCGAGACCCATCGTGGTCAACAATGTGGCCTGCAAAGTGACCTCCTCCTCCTCCTCCTCCTCCTCCTACTACTACTACTACTACTACCACGACTGCCACGACTACTAGTACTACTAGCACTACTAGTACTACTAGGACTACTAGTTCTAGTAAATTACTACAACAACAACAACAACAACAACAACAACAACAACAACAACAACAACAACAACTACTACTACTACTACTACTACTACTACTACGAGCAGTAGTAGCAGTGGTAAGTAGAAGTAGTCGCGTAGCAGGGAGTCGAAGTTGTAGTAGTAGTAGTAGTAGTCGTCGTCGTCGTCGTCGTCGTCGTCGTCGCCGTTGTAGAAGTGCTGGTGGCAGTAGCAGTACCACACGTGTCGTTTGCCCAGAACCTCATTCCACTTTTTTGCCTCCAGCCTGAGTTCAGGTCCGCCGTTGAGCACCAGAAGTGAAATGGGAACAAATGAAAGCCATATGCGCAGCACAGGAAAAAACATGAATCGTTGGCCGAAACCAAGACCTTGGAATGCGTTCAAGGTCCTAAGGATTACAGAGCTTTCCTTTGGCATCTGAAATGAAAGCAAAGCAAGAATCAACCTGCAAAAGAAAGCTTCGTCGAATGTCCCCTGCTTTGCGTGACGTGGCCTGAAGTGCAGATCGCAAAGCAGCCAACCTCCTCATTGCAGTGAAGGCTTGCAATTGCTTTGCCAAAAGCTGTATGGAAGAGTGCTTGAGACACGAGCCCAGCCACTCCAGGAAGCTTGGCTGGCTTTGGAGAGGGCGGTGAAAGGGTTGTTGGGGTCGGCTATGAGACCCACGTAGGCTTGCTGGTGCGGGGCAGTGCACGGCGCTGCCTGCGACCTTAAATTTTTGAAACCGGCCGAAAGCCAAAGGCTAGGCATATTTTTAAATCTTTATTTATGCTGGTGGCCCAGATGAACGTTTTGCGGAGGCCTTTCTTTTGCCCAGGGCCGCGATGAGTTTTCTCCAGCTTAACCAGCTTGGTCTTCGAGAGTTGGATGGTTAACCACACCAGGCAATCTTAGAACTGTGCCTTTTTCCAGATTGGCGCGGCTATAGTACAGAGGCACGGAGCAGGGCGAAGACCATCCACAGAAATGCTTTGTGCGGCTGCCACGCAAGCAGACCGTGGGCGCAGAAAGGCCTGTGCGCTGTAAGCAGAAAAGCGCCCGCCAAAAATGGCAGACTCTTTCGTGATGGAGTCTGCCTTGGAACGGGCCAATGCCAGGTCGGAAGCCATTGGAAGGCTAAGGCAATGTGTTCACCCGCACACCGTGCTATCCAGAACCAAGCGATACCCGATTATTAGAATTTCTTTATCCAAAAGGCTTTGTTTTCCAGTTGCCCTTGCACACCTTCAATTTGGAGTGAGGCGTTGGGATGCTTTGCCGGCCACATGACATAGGCCTTCCTGCAGAAAAGGCAGCAAGGCCAAGTCTGGTCTCCCCATGCGTTTGCGGGATTCAAATCGGACGGCTTCGGTGCATTCCTGCTCCGTTAATGGCGAATCTAAGTTCCCCTGGCTCACTTGTGCTATTATGCGTGACACCATGCTGCGCTCATCGAGCCAGCGAAGCCACGTTGGAGCTGGTCGGGGTCGGGCAACACCGTCGCAGACAGGGAGTCGGCACGGCGCGAGGCTGGGCTGCGCTGGAAGGGTGCAGCTGCAGCGCACGCACCCTTCCTGCGCCCACTTCCGCCAGTTGGCATGCCAGTGTTTCGGGATGACAAAGACCCCATTTCGACCACTCCAGAAATGCTTGTGTGCTTGTATGTGTGACTGCAACGAGGGCTAAATCCAAAGGCCCATGATTTTGCAAACGTTTTACCATGCTGACAGGCGTCCACCCACACAAGGCACACTAATGCTTGCGGAGCATGTGAAAATTGGCCTCTTCGAGCCAGGACCTGGCAGAGGGCGGCTGTTCCCAAATGCCGATGCCTCCTTTGGAGACGACCGCAATGAACAAGGCTCTGACCCTTTCATGAATGGCTTGGCTATCTTGCAGAGAGTTCGGAGCGCTTTTGGGCCGCCGGGTCTGAGTTTTAATCTAGAGTACTCCACTTGCAAGGCGGAGCCAGCATGATCAGGGCAACTAATCCCGACCAAGCTTGAGCAGGGCTTCGAACACTCTCTCTTTAGAGGGGTTTCCCAAATGGATTCTATTCCACCTGGTAGGCTCCTGGCACTCGTCCGTCAGGAAACAACCTCGTCCTGCGAAGGATTCGAAACCTAAAACGCTGCGCGCAGGCGTGTGGCTGCAACATAACGACCCCTAGATATGCTTGCAAAATGCCCCGCAACTGCGTTTCTGCAAGGCGAGCGAAAAAAACAAGGGAAAAATGAAAGCCAGCCAGAAGCCAGCCAGAAAGCCAGCCAGAAGCCAGCCAGAAGCCAGCCAGAAGCCAGCCAGAAGCCAGCCAGAAAGCCAGCCAGAAGCCATCCAAACCAGCCAAAAAGCCAGCCAGAAAGCCAGGTGAAAGCCAGCCAGCCAGAAGCCCAGAAGCCAGCCAGAAGCCAACCAACCTCTTTTTTCGATAGCCAGAAGCCAACCAAACCAGCCAGAAGCCAGCCAAAAGCCAGCCAGAAGCCAGCCAGAAGCCCAGCCAGAAGCCAGCCAAAAAGCCAGCCAGGGTTTCCTTTGAGGGGGCTCGCCCCGCAGCTGCCAAACCGCATATCTAGGGGTCGTTATGTTGCAGCCACACGCCTGCACGCAGCGTTTTAGGTTTCGAATCCTTCGCAGGATGAGGTCGTTTCCGGGACGGACGAGTGCCAGGAGCCTGTCAGGTAGAATAGAATCCATTTGGGAAACCCCCTCTAAAGAGAGAGGTGCGATGTTCTATGTTCGCGCTTTCGCCGGCGCAGTCAGCTGTCGCTGCAGTCGCTGTGCAGTTCGCGCAGTTCGCTGCTCCGGGCTGCGCGTTATTGATCCAATGTTGCGCCATCGTTCGGCATCAAAGCCCGGCCGCGCCACCTGCCCGGCATCAAAGCCTCCACCCGGCCGCGCCGCCCGAGGTCGGAATTCTTCCCAGGAAAAATGTAAGTCCTCCCGTGAAGGGAGGACTGGAATTCCGACTTCGCTCTCCAAGGTCGGAATTCCGACTTCGCTCTCCCACCGAGGTCGAGGCGAAATTTTCGGTGATTGCGTGCAGGTCGGCCACGGGAGTGTCTCGCTGACCAGGACCCGGATATATGAAACTATGGGCACCATGCATAGTTTCGCTATATGTGCTATATGTACTATATGGCTCTCACCAACCCGCGCCCTACGCAGGCCGAAATTTTCAGCGATCTGTCCCGAAATTTTCGAGCAGGGGCGGTATTCACAACTTGGGAGCTTGTTCGCGGAAGCAACGTCGTTCGCAACCTGCATCTCGAAGCTCCTCTCTCTGCTGCGCTGGCCAACGGCGCCAACACGCTGAGCATCACGGCCGACTGCTACTCCGTCGCGGCGGCGGACGCGGCCCTCGCGGCTGCGCTGCTGGCCTACTACACCTCGGCGCAAGTGGACGCGCTGTTGGTCGACTACCGAACGGGGACGGCGCAGGACGCCGAGACGACCAGCCAGGGCAACGTGGGCTGCGACCAGCTGCTGCGCAACGACGTGAACTGCACGGACGTGTTCACGACGGGCGTGGACGCCTCGGGCGCAGTCTCCTGCGCAGCGCTCACAGCAACCGGCACCGTCACCGGAGCCACGCTGACGTCCACCGGCGCCGTGTCGGGCAGCTCGCTGAGCATCACCGGGGCGGCCAGCGTGGGCCTGCTGAGTTCGGCCACCGGAATCACCGGCAGCACTCTCACCATCAACAACACGGCCAACGCCGGGAACTTCACCACGGTCGGCGACGTGTCCACGGGCACACTGACGGCCTCAGGCGCAGCGAC